GACTTCTGACCATTCCCCTGTTAGTATACTGAAGACAGATGACGTAAATTTTTAGATCTATACCGAAGACACAAAATTTATGCAACATATGAAATTATGATCCCAATGAAATCGTGATGAACTGCAAATTTCCATTGCCTAATCCGCGCTTGGGGTCGTAAAACGGGCTCTCTCTCATCCCGAATGTTCATTCCTACACCTTACGAGGAAGCGATACTTGGTGTCCTTGGCCTTTTGAGATGAAACGTATACCGTCAGATTGGTCTCGGGACGCTGATTCCGAATCTGACTTCCATTTCTGCTAATCGTTTCTCTAGAAGAAGTTATGAAGGATTTTTGCGTCAATGGTCGCCTTTAAGAAATACGGTCGAAGATGCCTAATTTTCTGAAAAGAAGCTTGATTGAGGCTATGCAAAACTTAAAAACACAAAAGGACTCGAATTTACATTAACTTGAGAGGCTATCGCGGCCACTACACTACATCTTAATGGCGGTTTTGGCGTTTCGATCACATCTCCTTTGGCGCGAAAATCCTTCATTACTTTTTCCCGAGAAACGATTAGCAGAAACAGAAGCCAGATTCGGAATCAGCGCTCCAAGATGAGTCTAATGATATGCATCTCATCTCAAAAGGCCACAGATACCAAGTATCGTTCCCTTGTTAGAAAACTTGCTCCTGCTGCTTATCTAGTGAAAGGGGATTGAACTGAAAATTTATCAAAGAGTAAAAGATTTAGGAATCGTTGCTGATTCTGAATTAAATTTATCTAAACATATCGATTTTGTTGTTGGAAAAACGTACTCTACACAATTCGTAGTTTTCAAACATACATACTTCCAATAAGCCAATTGTGACTAAGTTGCACCGGGCGCGTTCTTCCACATCTAGTATACTGTTTATAAGTTTAAAGTCCCTCTAGCAAAAGAGAATCGAGAATTGAAGATGGAAAGTTTAGCATGCTTTTACTAGACTGATGGCTCTTGGAACACAAGTGAAATGATATAATGCGGCATTCCAAATCAACTTTGGAACAAGACATTGTGATTATGCTTTCTAATTACAAGGCCCACAATAGCTGAAAATCTAGTTTTATGCTTTCGAATACTTTGTATAGACTAATAGCCATGGATCTGGTCTTCTTAGTATTTGTTTTACCGTTGGTAAAAGTTTCAACGATTGCTTAAAGAAACTATTTGTGTAGGCAATTAAGCCTTGAAAGAGTTGATGATAGCAGTTACCTTGATTACTATAGTAAATTATGATTACACCTGATTACTGGTTACATTTCTTATATTTACATACAAGAAAATGCAATGGAAACCAGCAAGTATAGGGTATGCCACCCAGTATCAGTACGTGGGATCCCTGAGCCGAGGCGGCGCGCACGCGAGACAGGTAGCGAAAATAGTGCGCAAGCGCGAAACCGTATGGCGTCTAAATCTGTCGCTAGCTCGACTTATCTCTTTTTGAGCTGTTTCTTGTTCGTACGTGTTCGTTCTTACACCTTCATTTCTAATTGTAAGTTAATCTCCTAGCGAGCGTATTTTCAAATTCTAGAAATAATAATGGCATCAGCACCCTTGTAACTCCTCTTTTCCCTATCGCTGACATAACAGACAATGTTTGATTCGTATGATCGCGATTCGTGTGACACTATGATCACATTCTTTCTAGCAGTAAAGTCAAAAGAGTAAAAGGAGCAGATTGCACACGTTTTTTTTATAATCTCGAACATGTTTTTCCGATTCTTAACGGTAAACCATAGCATATATGATAAAGCACAAGTACCTGTACATTGCGTTGGCGATTCTTATTCTCAAATGGATGATCATTTTCGAGCTTATGCGAATATCATATATTTTCTTCTCAAATGCTCATCATGCAGTGGGCATGCCATCATCTTAACTGGCCTACATAGTTAAGACAGGAACTCCAAACGAAACTAAATGTACAGCAAAAGAAAGAACATGAATACAGAATGGGAGCGTTCAGACTGAGCAGAAAGCTAGCTTTTGCGCTCGATTGCTAGTCCCGCCGCAAGCGGCGCGTGCGCGTTGCCTCATTTCGTGGAAATTCTTGTTGGTAAGAAGGGGAAGTCTATGTAGGAATGCTAAAAGCATGAATCACCTATTCTTATCTCCTTCTGTCTTACTCTACACTGTGCTTCGTTGTGCCATAGCAGATAAACTCTTTAAAATAATCGGCGTATCCATAATTAGCCAAATGCACGTTTACACGGACTCTACGCTTCTTGAAGGCGCCACGAAATGGCAGAAACCACGCCGAATACCTAAAATACTAAATATAAAAGGAGCATCACGCTAATTGAAACACGGAAGGAGCATGTGTATAGGTATACCAATCGCTTCTCAAGAGTGGTTTTGGAATAGTCTGGGAAGACAAAATCTCCATTTACGTGTACATGGACTTGGAACCTTCCCCTCGCGTCTACGCTGCTGGGATAGAAAATAACTAACTCCTTCGTGTCATTGTGGAGCCACAAACGATGCGGAAAAATTGCTCAATGAACTCCTTATCAGTCTGAGATGACGTCTTCAGGACAAAGGAGCCCTCGCCTTTTTTTCTTTTCCCTATGAAAACAAAATAATACTGCCACGCATGGAAGAGGTCTGCCATTACTTCATCCTCATGACTGAACCGTGCCGCAGTCTTGAAGGCAGTGGCTCGGGAAAATTGCGAATGCAAGCTTTTCAACATACATGGCCGTCTGGATCCGCTGAGCCCGAGACTCTGCTTGAAAAATTAAAAACGTCTTCGGCGTTTTCCGGCCTTGGAGATTGCTGAGGAGGCTGGGCGAAAGATTTCCCCCAAAACAACGACTGGCTGCAGGATACTGTAACCCCACCCATTTTGGCGGCGATTGGCTGATCGATTCAGGCAGCCAATCGCGATCAGTTGGCGAGCTCTCGCCCATCCGCTCCAGCAATCTGCAAGACAGGAAAACGCCATGAAAAGCATTTTTTCGACTTTTCAAGCACAGTCCCGGATTTCCAGAAGGCCAAAGAGGGATGGAAAGCTCGTGATTGCAATATTTCCGAGCCATCCTTTAGACCCTTATGGCCCGCTTACAGCGCACCGTCAATCATAGGACACTTCCAGCTTCATTTAAACGTTTTCATCCGAATAGAATCTGAAGCTCGAACATAAATTCTGCTTATCATTCCTAAAGCAGTTTATATACTCAAATACCCCCCAGTTTTGGTGACTTTGTAGTAAAATTCGTTGATAATTGCGAAGGAAGGCTAGTCTCTTCGTGGTGACGGACTTAGCTGCTATAGCCCTATGAGCCTATCTGCAAATTTTCTTACCGCATTCAACTACTCTTCGAGCTTAAGAAGACTGCACTAATTTGCATTGATGTTTCACTTGTGTGCCCGAAGTTTACGACAATCATGGTGGTCCTTGACGCAGAATTATATGATTAGATAGTATTTGTGACAATTTGCCTCAAAGGCGAATTTCCTTAACCAAACACAAGGTTGATGGACAAACATCAGAGCCCATATTTGTTATTTCTAGATGCATTTAAGAGTTCTAAGGACGTATACGAGATTGTTGCATGGGTTGTTAAGTCTTATTAACTCAAAAAAGTCAAGGTATAAGTGTTGGAGGTACTTACAAAATGCTATCAACACTAAACACCAAATTTGTGAATGTCTTTCTAGCAAAAGAAGTAAACTGAGCAAATGATAACTTCAGGCAGCTAGCAGCTATGCCTCCCATTTCAATAATAGCTGGTAACACATTACCAGGAACAGCGCTGCACGCAATGCGGCCTTCCCTATTTCCAGTTCCAACGTCATAAGTGCAATCTCCAGTAGATATTTTTCCTATGCGATTTTTACCGCTAAAAGCAGCTATACTTGCTCACAGTTGTACAATTCTTTTTCATGTGGCAAGACTCGCTCCAGGTTACAGTCAAACTTGCTGAGTTGTGCCCGTTTTTTCTATTGATCCCCAAACTTATAACATGACCGACGAATAACTTAGGTATTATTCGATTCAATTCGTCATTTTTCTGAAAGCTATTTCCTCTCTGATCTCATTGCAATTTATCGCCAAGGCCCATAGAGCTGTCTAGCAAAATTGAAAATCTGACAAAAATTTACCCTAGCATTTAGAAGGCATTGGTAGCTATGTAGAGTAAGCCTTTTGCTACAAATCACTTATTTCAGACTACGTAGGCCAATTATTTTGAGGTCTAGAATGATTGTTTACTCCAGAAGACCCTAGCTTTTGAGTACGGGAGGCGCATAGGCCCGAAAATTCTAAAAAGTTGATTCCTCAAAGCAAATCAAACATTATTTTGCGCAGATGATGTTCAGTGACAACCAAACCTCAATCAGCGTATGTCTTGGATGCTTTCATGTCTTTGCTCAGTCCTATATTTCATGAGTTGATTACTCTTGATCATTTTGTAAAGCTGCAAACACTAGAATGGAAAAATCTAGGAGACCGCGATATCCCGAGATATCCGAGATAGAGACATCCTCTTCACCACAAATCCGGGCGAAAATCTTTGAAATTTAGCCAACATTGTGCAGACAGAAGCAAAAATGAAGAATTTTGGCAATCAAACGTTTAGAACATTATGGTCCAAGATTTTCCGAAAAAGCAGCTGTCAGATAGAGGAAAAGCTGCATCGAATGCATGTTTGAACGCATTTAGATCTTTATTATATGAGTTTTTTGTTCGAAAAAACGAAGAGAAGGTTTTTGGACAACTTAACATATACATAAAGCTCAAGCAATCATGTCGTGTATCATTGCACGCAAAAATGTGCGAATTAACTAGGGAATGGCTTCAGACAGCATTATTACATGCGTTTGTCCTTATATCGTAGATACCAGATCTAAGACCTTTTTTGCGATCATATAAATTTGTGGATTCTCCATTGGTATCGAATGATGTAGCGAAGACAGATCTATTTCACTATGTCAACCCCTACCGATATTTGTCTTTTTATGTACCCTTCTTACTAGACGAAATAATCTTCATTATGCCATTTTATGCAACAATACATGGGGTCAGCCAAACAGCAATAAAGATATAGAAGCTCAATGAAAAGGGGAGTGTTTATGATTGGGTAACGCCTAGCAGAAGTCATCAGATGATGTAAAACAAAACATGTGGCAGAGTTTGTATCGGAGAGGCTGCGAAGAAAGACGGCTAGTCCCAATAAGAAAAAAACAGTACCGGGGACTAAAACTATGGGGCAACTAACACCCCATGGGGCCTACCTACATAAAACAAGAGAGCTGCTGGCCTACGGATGATGGAGAAGAGAGGAGGCGATGAGGTGTTGGCCGCTTGCACAACACCTTCTGAGCAGTGATATACAACGTGAAAGCTGAGAGAGAGGCAGTGCATTGTGGAGACAGCTTTAGGACGAACGGATACTAAGAGATCGACTGTGATGGCAGTGGGTTTGAGGGGGAAAATCCTCGGGCAAACGCCTACAGTCGCGCGCAAGTGCAGCCTCTCTGTCTTCACTTCACTACGTGAAACAAACTAGTAGAACAGCAAAGGAACACTGGTTGATGTGGGGCGAGTAATCGATTCATATAGAAAGAATTAGAGAGCGACAATGTGTAAAGGCAAACCGATAATCGGACACAGTATGACTTGATCTCATTAGCTCAAAAATCAAGATATTAGTGCAATATAAAAAATAACTGAATAAAATCCAAATCATATGCGAGATATACAGGAGAATGTGATAATAACAACAACTATAAGAGAGAGGGGCCATGTCGGTCTAGCCGGTACGGTCCGGTGAACGGAGATCAAACCGAGAACAGTACACAGACACCGAACCGCAAAGACAGACAACTCCCTACCCGAGCACATTGCAACGCACAGACGCGAACACACCAAGCCTATCAATCAACATCGCACAAAGGGGAATGTGAATGTGTAATTTAGTGTGTGGATGTGTGTTTCCCGGCTCCCTTCTACAACAAAGAGATGACGGATGAGAGCGCGGAAGAACAGAACCGCGTCGATGACGGACACCACACACGCGACGACACGCCCCGCGAGAGGAGCGCGTCGCGATCACCGGGCGCTAGTAGCGGACGCGCGCACGACTATGGAATAGATGCATCTACACAAATGTCGACGTGCTGCCTTTCTCCGGCTTCTCTGGTGGCATCAACGTTTTTGCGGGTACGTATTGACCTAAACAAATATAGAATTTGAAAATTTGCCTGATGTCTATTAAAAAAGTTTTATTTTCGTGTCAAGCTCTAAAACTTGAAGTTCACTTTCAAAATCAGACCCTGAAATTTTTTTTGAGATCCAGGAATTTTTAAGCCCTGAATTCTCACTTCCACAAACAAGTTATCATTAACATTCTCCAAAAGCAATACCGCCGTATAAATCTGTCTCCGGTACGTTACTTTACCTCAGGTGAGTTACTATGGTACGGTAAGAGTACGGTATGTACAAGCAGGGCTACAATATTCACAAAACAAGCCCTGTACGTGCTAAAGTATGGTATGAAACTGTTAGAGCGGTATCAGCGAAAATTGAGAAAAACAAAGGTGCTGATTGAACCGAATGGGTCCCATTCAATAGCAAAAACGATTGGAGGGTTCTGAAAAAGGAGCTTTTCTTTGTGCTTCTCGACTGGGAGCTCTTTCAATTACTTTCTCACATATTTCATAGTTTATTTCCAAGAAAAACTACAGGACCAAAAGCTTTTCACTCTCCATTACCCCGAATTCTAGTGAGACCCGGAGAGTATTCCCAAGTGAGCGCACATTGCTCCATTTCATTAACACGTTACCCAGATGGCCATATTACAATGGCGTCATAAAGAAGAAAAAAAACGCTTTTAATTCACCACATTCGGGGGCCACCGATTAATCTAATAGAAAGCTTTACATTTTCTCGTAGGGCTGCATTGAATGCAAGATAGTTTTTTTTATCTAATGAATTGTATGGAAGCAAGACCATAGATAAAAGAGAAGAAATAATTGAAAAGTATGTAAATTGTAAATTAACATACCAATAAAGCTTCCATCCTCAGTGAACCGGCCTGGATCGGTGTCACCATATTCGGCCATGCTATCGGTTTCGGATTCCGCTTTACTGCCCGTCAACGAACGCTTCTCGTCATCGTCGCTAAAGAATATTGTACTAGGACGTTTTTCGACTACTGACGCCACGTTCTTAGCGCCTGCACTCGTCAAAAGATAAATCATAGGATCCCTTTGCAAGGGCCCGACACAACATATGTGCGTGACCTCGACAACTGCGCCGCGAGCGACTCGCAAGGAAAAGCGAAAAAAAAGTTGCCAAGCACGCATTGATCCATGAAAAAACGCCAAATGGAAGGAGGCAAGAACACTCTGACAACTAGACAAACATACTTTTTGTACTCGCCAAAGTGCTGTTTAGCAAGAATCGGCTCTCGTCCTTGTTCGCGTTCCTTCTGCGAGACTGGATAGTTCTGACCACGATGTCGGAGTGCAACGCAGATCATGCAACATATGCAGAGTAGGAGCAGCAGAATCAACAGGATCAGCAGTAACCACCATAATCGAGCTGCTTTCGGGGCTTAAAAAAGAATTTTAACCGAACATCAATTCCCTGCATTGAGCTTCTGTTACGCAAACAAAGTAACCTTTCATGCACGTTACCACGGACGTTTGTTTACCCTGTCACTCGACTAATTATCGCACTAATACTCTGCAAATGGCAAAAAAACCTAATGCACTTTCTCTAGGAGATTGTACGGTACCACTCCTTTTGCACAAAAAAAGTGGAGGTTTGTAGGTCGCTACAAAAAGTAGAGATAATTAGCAATTAGCAAGCAGATTTTCAAGTCGAGTTGTTCATGAAAATTTTGAAAAAGCGAAAACATGGAACATAAAATAAGACACTGAGGTTTAAAGTAGTTCACATTACTCAAAAGCCAAGCTTCGATTAGGTTACCGCTCAAATGTGGAAAGAACAGATTCTGCTGAGTTCAGATGAACACCAGAAAAAGCCTTAATCCTTGTAAACAACGTGCACCCAAATTTTTAGCTTCTCGGTTTTTGTAATACTGAGCCTCTCTATGGTCCTGATATCAGATATGAATTGCAAAACTTGCGAAACCCCTAGAAACGTCTATCCAGGCGCAGCACTAAGTTCTTGGATGGGCGGAGTTTGATTGGATGGGCGTGGCTTGACAGCACTTTCGCTATCAGGTCCAACTTCTCGTTATAGGTGGCAGTTAAAGAACCAGACTAAAGTATATGCCCCATTCGTAGGACCTGCTTGTAGACCGCATTCTAATTGGCGAGCATAAAGTAAACTTAGAAAAATCCACAGACGAATTGTCTCCTACTAGTCCTCATTTCTACTTTTCAAAACAAGAACACTTTCGTGTATATGGCGGGTTCAATGAGGTTGTCCTCTGCAAGATTATTTTATTTCCTCGTAAAAAGGATTTAGTATGACCAACCAATAATAATGGCACCATCAAAACAGGTTGTTTCCCGTTATTACAGATTATTATCAGAAGATTTCTGTGGTTAAGAGATGACATAAAAGGGGTACTGGACCCATAACTTATTTTTCATGCAAAAAAGAACACTTACATTTTCCTGTTGTCGTGATGTAGCTCGACGGTGAATATGTTTCTCTTTCTTCACCACTTGGATCTTTTTGCAATGCTGCGACGCGGACTTCATACCTCGTGCCAGGGTTAAGATCGCCGACATGCACAGTCAGATCGTCTCCTATAATTTTTATATGATAGCAGCCTTTTTTGGTACTTGTTACCCATTTGCATTCTGTTGCTAAGCAACAGTTGTGATTAATCTATTGCAAGGCGAATAATCTGTTTGGTAAGGGCAAAAGACATGAGTAAAACGTAGAGAAGAAGGAAAAAAGAAACAAAAAATGCAAATAATAACCTTCTTGCGGGACTTGCTTCCATTCATCTGTATCTGCTTCGCGATACTGCACAAGGAAAGTATTTCCGACAGGGCGGCGTTCCTAGACAAATTACTATGGTGACACAAAATGATAAATGATCAAAAAGCAAACCTTGCGAAAAAAAGGAAGAATATGATGAAAAAAACTGAATTAAATCGAAGTAGGAAAATTACCTCTTCGTCGAATTTCGATGGATTGAATGTGACGTTGAAGTAATCGTCACCAATTTCATTTTCCACGAACGATGGCGTGCTAGGATCCACTAAAAGAAAGCTAATTAAGACAAGAATGAAATGTAATACTGCCGTGAATGACTTCACAGACTCCAATTTCTAATTCTCCCCAACATGTACGTCTCGCATTAAAAAAAATTTATAGCTATTCCAAATGCGCATCCTCGCTTTCAGACTTCCAAACGCCTATGAAGCTGACATAACCAGCTCAGGCACAGGTGCTAAATTATTCATCCGTTCAGACCATAATTAGGTACTACACATAGCAGGCATATTCACCGACATTGCTAGTTTCCGCAAAGCTTTGTCCGAGTGCCCGTGCAAGGTTCGGCAAATCGGACCAAATTAGCTCTAGTGCTCTCTTAGCGTGAATTCGAGTGAACTTGAGCTTGGTCTAGCGCTTAGAAACCCGTTGGTATAGCCCAGAACAGCCAATGCTTGAACGGAAAGGGCATAGATTACCTGCAATTCATCTCCCAATGTATGCTAACTATTTACGATTTACGGAAACCGGAGGAGATACTATCCAAAAAGAAGACCAACTAGACAACGTTTTACAGTTCTTTAGCAAAAAACTAGCACACTCAATTGCATAAATAACTCAACCCTGGTACGCTGCCAGTTTTTGCGCGACGCAGTTATTACTACAACTCTATACAAAGAGGCCTATCGGAATACTAGAGCCCATCGTGAGCCCAAAAAAAAAGAAAAAAGCTTCGGTGGGCGAAAGCATGGCATAAATTGAGATGGCTCATACTTCAATATGTAAAACACCAGCATTTTTTTTTTGTTTCTGTGATGAAAGGAGCTTCGTTGACAAACTTGGCCCTACAATTTGAAAAAAGCACTTTTAATGTACTCGATCTACCTCTACGGTTCACAGGGATGAGAATTCAAATAAAATTTACGACTACTCGTACGTCAAAGTGTGTTCGTGATTACTGCAAAGTAAAAATCTTCATTCAGGAAGAAAAAATCAAACAAAAAAGGGCTCGTTGAACCAAAACGTCCACTTCACTATTCTTGGTGTATCTCCCGCTCTACATTATTTTGCAAATCAAAGCGGCACTGCCTTTCCCCCTCTTATCAACTTTGACGAAAGTGAAAGAAAAACTGACATTAGCACTTTTCTGACTATCAAAGGGACAAGCTGTACAGCACCCCGTAATGCCAAGCTCTGACCACCTGCGCGTAAAGCTGTGTGTGAATAGATAGGAGAGCCGGTGGCTCATTAATCGCCTGCAATCCGCTAGGATAATCCTCGGATGCTAGGCAGGCCCGTGATGTAATCTAGGCTAGTATTATGTAGCCAACTAGCAGAAAATATAGTATAAACCTAGCCGAAAATGTATTTTAGGACATCGTAACCCACGAGCGAACTGATGAATGGAAATTGCCAATTTTAGATGTGGCAGACCACTCAGCCAAAATCTCAACTGGAAATTCCTAAAAGTCTCAATAAAAATAGCATAGTAAAGTACTCGAATCTTTCTGAAACTACACCTCTTATCTAAGGAATGTCGCAGCAAAGGGACAAACGCCAAAATCAGGACATTTTCTCTCAAAATTAATGCGCTTATCTTTCTGTTCCATCATTGCTGAACCTCTATACAACGACAGGCACTCAGTTACTCTTTCGGAAAGTTTCTCTATTCAGAAAGCAATTCCCAGGAGGAGGCAAGAAACTCTCTTCGCAGCGCTTGCCCTCATTACGATTTTTTGAGCAAAACCTAAACAGAATTAGCCTACTTCGACCTTTATTACTATTCGCAGCACCAACTAAACCTCGTTGCAATAAAATTCTCACATAAACAGAACATTTGGAGCATACGCCCGCTGGAGTTTTTTCTTCCCATTTACCGCGGCTTCCAGAGCAGAGAAGCCACCGATCATTGGCTGGGTAATTCCGCATGTAAATTGACTAGAAAGAAGCAAGGAAAAGGAAAAAGAATTTGAGGGGACATTTGTCTCCTTGCAAGGCATGGGCTGCAGCGCTTAAACGCGCTTTGAGCACAAAATGCAATTTCAAGTGCAGTGTTAGACAAAATAAAGTTTGATAAGTGCACTTATTCAAAAGTACATTTGCTCTGAGTTGAGCTCATGCAAAGGCTTTTCTTCGAAGACTGAGACTTGTCAATAAAAGCGTTGCCTTATCGTACTTGGGTGTTCAAAAAGAAAAAATAAGGAAAGAAACCTGTAGGATTCCTAATCTGGGTGTCACAGAATGGCACGATGAGAAGCATCAGAATCATTGCACAAGTTACTTCAAACATTGTGACGTCGCTCTTCACAGCCAGATGGTAAAGAGTGCAGCAGTGCAAAATGGAATAAGAACAGCCAGTTAATCAGTCAGTCCCAGACAGACAGCGGTCGATAGCGCTGAGTGGACTGGACCTCTTCGTATAGGGAGAGCTGGAGCTGTCACTGGCGCTTTCGGGGCAGTTTCTAGCACCAACAAGTCCAACCACCCGTATGCACAAGTGCTGTAATCGTCAAAGGGTGTGTGTGAGGGAATGGCAATCGGTATATTAGGGACGCACAGCTGAGCCCCGTCGTCGGCCAGGCCTGGCTGCCTCGGGCCACGCCCATCCGACGACGACGGAATGCGAAAATGGGGCTCCAGCATCAGAAGCGCTGCGAGCTTGAAAATGAGCTCTATAGCCGGGATAATTAACGATTTCATTTGATTAAGGCCCTTAGTGCAAGCCGAAGTTACAAAAAAGGACTCTGATGACGCAGCTGGACGATGAACAAGCGTCAAAATGGTTCGATACGAACTACAAAAGGGGTGAGATGAACCTCAACACCTTTTCCATTCGTATATGGGAGAAATTAGCAGCCTAGATCAACTGTAATCCCAGGACATATTACTCTGAGAATAACTTAAGGTGATATGTCCTGGGACTTGTCCTGGGATTGTGATTGCTCTAGTTCCCAGAACTTATTTTGACATGTGATTTACTCATTTCTCTATTCGTTGATTCACTAGACTCGAGGTGCATTACAGAAAACAAAAGTAAGTAGCAGTTACTGTAACTTCTCATGCTCGCATATTTCGAACTTGAGAGATGAAATTTTCCAAAAAATCCCTTACGATCAAACCTCTTGGGGTTCAAGATGACTGACCCTCCTCAAGCAGTATGAACTCGAATTTATGCTGTTTTTCATGCGTCAAAGTTTTGCATGTTGTCGATAATATTCTATTTTTTGAGTTTTTTTTTCGTCTCAGCGCTGTGACTATGGTATGTGTTTTTTCTTTTTTGATGTGTCAAGTAATGAATAAATGGATGACACTATTAAACCCTGTCGCATAGGTAATGAGTACTTCCCATTGTATACTATAGGATTCTCTCATCACCTAGGTGACACTGCACTTAAATAAGCCGGGACACAGCTGATCCATAATCCTAAGAAACAGGGCAACCTTGTCAAATAAACTGGTCCTGAAGAAATTGCTACATCGCACAACTCGCAAACACTTCAACTAACCTATCAACGAACCCAATCTCAATCATGCCCACACCTATGACATTGCGGTGAAAGTGAGGTGGCGCTCGACCTTGCTCTATGTAACTCATAAACATTGTCCGACATAGAACGTGGACTTCCCGTTCTCGTATCGTACAATCTACGCGCATGGAAACACCTCAAACAAATCCATCCACATGTGAATTTACGGAAACCGCTTGCCTCGGTACACAGAATACCTGATTTACATTGTACGAACAGTAACACCATAACAAGTGCTCTACCTGTACGTGTGGCCCAACAGTACCAATGTACACAACATAATTTGATCGAGATGATTGTCCAATCAAAAGGAATTATGCCAGTGTATGTTGTGAGTGCCAAGATGGAGTAAACAGAGCGACAAAAAAGTAGTGAAAGGAACTCTTTGGTGCTTGCCAAAAATAGAGACCAGAGTGTTTACTCAAAATCAGATCGTATAGACAAGAGCTACACTTGAAGAACGAAGAAAAAGTATGATACTTTTGCTGATTTTGGACCGCTAGTGGGCATATCCAAGTAAATAAAACACACTCTCTTCTCAAATTTGCGTCATAAACTTGACTCTCCGGTTGGGTAAGTAGCTTTCAAAATTCTATTAGGATAGGTATATAGTGGAACAGGTATATAGTGGGAGGAGGACAATCCCAATCCTTGCACGGCCAATCGGAAGAAATTTTTCCTGTTTGAATAATATTTTCCGCACCATTCACTATCTGTAGATTTAAAAAGAATATGCGAACAGCTCAGAATTGAGATATAACTAGTTTCAAAAGTATGTAATTTTGAAAAAATTGCAAAGGCAGAGATCCAATCATGCTGCTTCAAAGTGCACCCAAGCGCTGCAAAATACTGCATCAAACCTCAGCTTCATTACTGAGAGAGGCTTCATAGGACGATGCTTGATAAGATATGGGCAAGACAAAGGTGATTCTAGAGCTCTAATCATAGTGCACTGAGAATGGGCAGGGAAGCTGATGCCTCACAAATACGTCCAATTATGGAACTTATGGTTTATGGTAGCATGAAACCACGCTCCAGCAAAATAAATTGGGGTAAATCAGTTTGAGGCGAGAAACTTTGACTATCTTACAAGGGAAGCGTGTTTGGTCGAAGTGGCCTTTCCAGATGAGACCCATACTGCTTTGAAGAGCATTAAGCGGTGATTCCAAATCTGCCTTCCAGATCTGCTCAGGGACTCTGGACGCCGAGTTATGACCGTTTTTAAGAGCGAAAAATGAATACAAAATTTAGGTAAAATCGATTGTTACGATCTTTCCAGCGCTCAGATAAAGCAGTGTTAAGTATTAGCATATCAGACAAATTGTATCCATTGCATGAACGGCTCTGACACTTGACACTGGACCATTTGAGCAAATTTCGGCGATTTCGTTAAAGTTTTGCGTTGAATTTTTTTGCTCGAAAAACACCCATAACTCGGCGTTCAAAGGCGCTGAGCAGATTTGGAAGGCAGATTTGGAATCACCGCCTAATGCTCTTCAAAGCAGTATGGGTCTCATCTGGAAAGGCCACTTCGACTAAACACACTTTCCTTGTTAGATCCTGCTAACCAAACTATGGCACGTGCCATACCTGATCCGCTTAATCCTCCTCATGCTCTTCGCTATTCGCTAATGGTCAAATCAGTGAACTGACCAATAGCGAGGCGGATATTCACTTAATCCACTTCATCCATTTCCCTATTGGTTAATTCACTGATCTGACCAGTAGCGAAGTGGATGAAGTGGACCAAGTGGACCAAGTGGATCAAGTATGCTGCGGGCCTATGTTAGAATGTCTAAACTCCTTTTGCAAGAGCGGCTGCAGATTAAACTATTCTGGCTTCAGCAGTGCTTCCTCACAAAGCATTGCTGAAGCCAGAACTTTTTCTTCCACTTTTCTTCTGATCCTTCCAAGTGCGAGAAACAAACTGCAAAACACCAACCTCCAGCTGCGACAACCTCAGGGAGCGTTGGCGCATCGGCACTATTCGGATCGCCTTCTCCTGCACTCGTCTGCGCTCTCACAATGAATCGGTAGGGTGTTTCGAATTCCAGCCCAGATAAGCGAATCTAAACATACAACGTGACTAAGATAACGCGGTGGGAAAAACTACAGAATGTAGAAACATTGTCGCTGCGATGATGCATGCTTGCTTAGACAGATAGCACAAACACATAAAAACGATAAAAAGGGATTATCGTACCTGGTTTCGACTAGCGTCAACATCTTGTCTTGGGCAATCTCTTTCTACAACTCTCCCGTTTTCGGTACGGCAATATTCTACCTAGAAATGGGTGAAATGAAAGCAAAAAGGAATATCCAGTACAAATTTGCAACTTGACTTCAACATACCACGTATTTGAGAAGTTTTCCATTTGGCCGCCGTGGTCTCCTCCATATGAGATGCACAACAGCTTTCTCGTCCGAATCTCGAGGGTTCATTGGATAAGCTCGTAAACCTCGTACAGGAGATGGTACTGAGAAATATGATTTAGATAGGGAACTTACAAATGTCTTCATTTAAAAGATCGAATATTCCATCATTGCATAACATAACCCTTCGCTTAATTATTTGTTACACTACGACATGCAACAAACCAAGCATTTCGGCAATTTGAAGATGTCGCAGCCATAACCCTTTTTAGAGATCACGAAAAGCTACTATATTTGGTGGCTCGTCGAATTGGCAAATTTTTGTCTAATGTTAGGTATGAAAGCGTATTCCGGTAAACATCCGAATGTACTCTGCTCAAGAAGGAATGTATTTCCAATGAAAAGCGTATCTAGTGAGAATACGAAAGTACACTCTGTTTGAGTAGGAATGTTTTTTCCAATGAAGAAAAGGCGCCAAGAAGTAAGAAAACCCATATCGTGGCGCGCAAATGTAAAAAAATTACGTATCTCTGATTACGAAAAATTCAAGATATTGGACCACAATTTCTAATTGTCCACTAAATAAAAAAAATTTTGTAAGTCCAAATATCAGATTACTCATCTGTATAACCAACACACATTGAAATGAAAATCAGAAATTCAAAGAACTGGGTTTTTGTGAATCTACCCATTTTACGACAAAGCTGTCCTTCGTTGCTACTTGAAATTCTGAGTAGTTAGGTGACAGTAGAAGCTCATATCTCATAGCAAAAAACAGCCATAAAATAACAAGCTAAGGTTTAGAATATGTCAAAACAAAGTTATTTTTCAGCCAACTTAATATTTCAGGGTTCTATACATTCCGCGCTTAAAAGGATGCTTGGAATATAAATGGCCATTGAGGCACCATAAAAGCGGCCTTTCATTATGGTTCTTGCCATCTTGCAGCTAGCGAAGCTTGCAAGGCGATGATAGCGGGGAGGGAATGACAAGAAAAATTATGAAGTCGACACAAAAGTGACAATTTCAGCAATATATTTATCATAGCGCTGCGAATCAAACCTAATCATTTTAAGCGACAAGATCCATATGAGTGGCATATAATTATGCTCAAAATTCAAAAAAAGTCTCATAAAAAACAGGCCAAAATCCAAGATTTTTCGCAGTGCTAATATCAAAAAAGAGTGTATAATTTAAATAATTTGAAGCAAGAGATCATAACTTGATGCTGTTAATTCAAATAGAGAGTCTAGAGGTACAAATGCAGCGGTAACAAGGCAACAACGCGAAACCTTGACATCGAATTTTTAGTGGTTAGGATGTAAACTCTCACCTTTTTCAAAAATATACAAGTTCAAAAATATTACAGCTTTCTAATTCTGATCAATACTTAAAAAATTTACAATACTGAAAAATCATGACTTACCGCCTTCTGCCGTATGGAATGTTATGACTTCGCTCGGTTCTCCTTCATGGGCTCCGTTTATCACCTACAAGAACACGGTTTCGACAGCTCTCATAAAAGGAAACAAACGGAAAGACGTTGTGCATAACAGAAAGATAGCAAGCTACAGTGCAATACAGAAAGGATGTACCACATGCAGAAAGAAACGACCAGGCCTTCATAAAGCTTTATGTAAGCCTCTAGTGCATGCTAATGGGTGCTGATCTAATTTATTTATCCAGACCTGTATAGTCGCATAGTTTTGCGTATCGGGCTTCAAATCAGTAATCGTTCCACTTGTGGCTTTCGGGCCAAACACAACCGTTTTTCTCCTACTTTCAACAGCTCGCTTTGTCTAGAAAAATGCATCGCTGAACCCTATTCGATTTCATCAGCAAAGTCTCGACTTACTCTTGACGTTCTCCTGAATCGAAGCCTCGATTCAACCTCGTTAGTCTCTTCTTCTTCGCCTTCAACTTCATCGTGCCAGTATGTAATCTGACACGGAAGAGATTATCAAGCTTAGAAGTTCAGAGCTAATAAAGCAAGCAAACCTTGTATCCAGTGAAGTTTCCATTCGCTGTACTTGGATCCACAGGGTTCCAAGCGAATGTAGCTGTGGTGCCGTCCTGTAATTGGAAACGTGTGCGTGTTCAATTAGTCGTAAAAACTAGAAGAGCCTAATGAGCCCAGAAAGAATATTATGCCTGAAATTCTTACTTTGCTGACAACACGGAATCCGGTGGGGATACTGCTAGGAACGCCTTCTCCGGTACGACCTTCCACAGTCTCAGGAACAACGTTTGCTGTGCCTTCATCGTTTACAGCTTGTACCTAAAAGGTGAACGACATAGCTTCAAACAGCAAACTTGGCGTTTTTAACAAAAATTCTGCGAAGAACCATAGTTTCCACGAAGACCAGAGTACTTTACAGTACGAAGCCGTCCACTGCTTACCTGCACTTCATATGGCTGGAACGGTTTTGCATCTTTATCGTCGTCCAAAGTTATGGTGTAACGGTCGGCAAACGGATCGTTGACTTGCACTTCTTTCCAGTCACCGCCACCACCGTCGGCAGGTCGGTACCTAAAAGTTCCAGCCGTGAAATCTATTGCATGTAAACGGGAAGTATGGGAAAGTTTTTACTGCTAGTGCTAGATGGGAGTACAATGTTTCAAACATAGAAAATTGTCTCTCTGCACCAAAGTGTGTCCAACCCTTATAATTATTTGAAATTGATGGATTTGCAAGGCTAAGAGCGCATTTTTGGCGGAATTTGATCGTTAACAACTCTCCCATGCAAAGAGCTTTCGCGGCTTCATGTATCGTATTAAAAGGCTTCAATTAGATTTACGAATGAATGACCCTGATCTCTTTACATTACTATTGAGCTACGGTGGAAGATTTCAGTGTTCCTCTAAATTAGCTGCCATTCCAAAGAAAATTTATGCGCAAAAGTTTGAGTGATGAGATTTCTATACCCGCTAATCTCAACAAGTAACTTTGAAAAGACTTATAAGGGAGTCTAGATGACAAGATCACCTTTCTGATGATCATCAAAATTTTCCTAATGGTATATCTAGCTGTATAGAATAAGCGTCTCTACCGTATTCAGTAACAGAATTTCAAGCTCTTTCAGGAAAATTCAAAGCAAGATTTGCTCTCAATGCTGCAGAATCTTTTGCTTACCGTAATCTTACAATGATGAAGAACGACTTGTACTCCGCTTTCTACCGCAAGTTTCAATAAGAATCAACTCTATAACCTATGATCCTTGTGTAAGCATTTCGGACATAGTTCTTGAAAAAGGTCAGACGTCGTAAAAACAGGTTACAGTTTGTATGCGTTCTGAAGTTTGGGTTCATGAAATGACATTACATACTTGATCTTGTAGTGGAAGTTCTGTCCATTCCACTCCTCTCTAGGCATTGGACGCCAATGTACAACCATGTTCTCGGGGCTGGCGCCTTTAGCCCAAACTCCAGCCGGGTTCCTGTCTGGTTGTTTCGGCGGAGTGATGCAGGTATCTTTCACTCTCGTTGGAGAGCTGTCACCAACTCCATTTCGAGCCAAAACCCGGAAGACGTACTGCAAAAAGTACTCTGCTCCTACGGTATTGGTTTAGCATTAAGAATGAACTCACATGTCCAAATGGTTGTAATGCGACTGTGGCTTTTCCGCTGACCATTCGTTGATCGCCTTCGATTCGGTCATTAGGATGTGCTTGCACGGGCACTGGATGCGTTCGCCATTGTGTACCTTCAGTTTCACTGTCCATTTGATATTGTACCCTACAATCTCATGGTGGAGAGAAGTAGAGGATATTCATTTTGAAAGTTATCTTGCTCGCGACTTATCAATTTCGCATGCAAAACTCAAGATCTTTCAGTTTCACAAGTTTGGAGTGGCGCAAATCACTTGTCAGAGAAATGATTTGCTCTCTCGCTTACATTCCCACTTTTTTTCCAATTATGCGTTTTCAATAGGGTATCTAACAAGGGAAGTATACTTGATCGATTAGGTAAGAGGTGTATACAACGTTCCCAGACGGTGATCTCTAATCCGCATTCCATATCTGCTATGACGTCATTCTGGAGGAGTTATAAAGGATCTTTGGTGCAGTGGATAGTGGCTTGGACTGCGGAGCTGGACGTCGTGGGTTCGATTCCTCTAGGATGCCACCCGTTTTGCATTTTCTTAAATTTTAGCAGGCAAGTTGCAAAACCTGTCGACACCAAAAAAGTTGTTTTTCACAATATGAAGCAATATATTTACATTAATCTAAAAACACTCGTTTTTACCTTTTTCATTAAATGCTTTACGCAATTTTACATTGAAAAATTCCGAATTCGTGCTTAACATAGAGAGGAGCAGCTAACCTGTCAAAAATGGCGTTTTTATCGGTTTTTTTTTATGCACAAAATGCTAATCAACTGCAAAGTTCTGTCCACAACTGGTCATCTCTTACCTACTCGAAGAGTTTGGCTCGTGCGACCTTACACGATCGCCCTCAAGGAAGGAAAGATGTATAATCGACAGCTTTTTTTCTATTCTGCGCCAGGCTTCCTATGAAAACCTGGAGGTTGAGAGCGACGAAGAGATTGCCACCGCTGAAAATGAACTCGACTCCTTATGGTAGGCCTTCAGTGCCAATAAATGTAAATTTATTGCTTCATATTGTGAAAATCAACTTTTTTTATGTCGGCAGGTTTTGCAACTTGCCTGCTAAAATTTACAAAAATGCAAAACGGGTGGCATCCCAGAGGAATCGAACCCACAACGTCCAGCTCCGCAGTCCAAGCCACTACCCACTGCACCAAAAATCCTTTGTAGCTCCTCCAGAATGACGTCATAGCAGATACGGAATGCGCTTTAGAGATCACCGTCTGGGAACTGTGTACGCGGTATACACCGCTTACCCAATCGTCACTGCGATCAAGTATTCTTCCCCTTGTAAGAGACTGCTTAGGCCCCGGACAGACTTCACGCGATTTGATCGTCGCGACTCAATCGCCGACATTTCCATTCATTTTCATTTCACATTCAAAAATTTCGGGCTGGAAAAGTATCACAACCGAAATGCAAGTTGATCGGCATGGAATGATGTTCAGTTGTCTCGTCGCGATTCAGTCGCGACGATCAAATCGCGTGAAGTCTATCCGGGGCCTTAGAAAAATTCAAAAAAATGAAAACCAATGTACGTAAGTCGTCGGCAGAAGAATAACTTAATTTACCACAAAAAAATCAGCAAATCACGAAATGTGATTGGTGAAAGCAGGGCGAGACAGAACTGAGAAGGCAGAACGAAATGCAAAAGTGTTCAACCCCGAAGACCGCAAAGCAACCGCAGTTTGATTCGCTAGGTAGGGAACTATGTGCTCTAAACTTCATAAGGTTGGACCAGTGATGAATTTTCTCTATCATTTGGTCGCCAAACAAGAGTATCGCATTAAAAGCTCTTTCCACAAACGTAGTAAGTAGTAAGTGTTTCAAATAAAAGTCTTACCAGAATTCTTTCACAGGCGACACAGTGTCAGCCGGTTCCATGTGCTCGAAACTGATCTCAGCTGATTGTGAGTCCGCATCACAGTTGCTAACATAGGCAGCGTGAACAGGCACAGGCACATCTGCAGAGCAACTTTTCTTATTACATCATTGAATTTTGATTGGAAAAAAATTTTTTGAGATAGATTTCGTCGTTTATAATCTAGCGCGACCCGGTGCCCGAGGGTTATGAATAAATTACCAACTAATGTTGCCAAGAAAGTCTAATGTGAATACCTCCTTAGTTTCCATGTTGAACTTCAATATAGTTTACATCGTTCGCATTCAAAAGTTCCATTACTCTTGACCAGCCACTAGCAAAAAAGCACACAATTATTGATGTTCCATAGCATCAGGTGAGAAAAGAGTGCCATGAACCTAGCGAAACGGAAAGTCGAAAGAAAAAACCTTATGCATTGCCCAGCTTATCAACACCCTTAACAGACTTGAAGAAAGAAAAGTAATGGAAGCAAAGGCGGTCGCACAATTCGCGTCCGACGAGGACGCAACAAAATTTCGATGAAGACAAAAAATGCGTATCGCAAAAAATTTTTGGAATCATTCCCAAAATTTTTGCGGCCCTCAACCGCCCCTCCCCCCCCCCCCCAAAATTTATTTTACAAGGCCAAGAGGCCCCTCCCCTCCTCGGTCTGCCACTGCTAAGCACTAACAATAAGACATGGTGTTATAGGCCAATTTAAAAAAATACAAAATTTTGTCGGTGAAAAAATTGTTGAAGTTGGTGAAGTGCGTCCGGAAAGGTAGATGGCTGGACAGAAATCAGCATTAAGAACAACCCCTATGTCTCGTATATCTCCATATCTTCATACACAACGAGAAGCTAATTAACTTTTTTCCCTATAAGAAGAATATCCCCCTATTTGCGCCTTGTTCTTCGTTGTGTAACATGGACTCTTGCATAGAATATATCACGAGAATAACGACACCGATTCTGAGCTTTTTTCTATATGATGTGTCCATGACATGGATGTTGCAAACTCTGCTGGAACGAAAATGCACGTAGCATCCTAAACTGGTGAATGCTAAAGATGCATTAACTGGTACATCCCAGACAAGAAATATATTTAGTTACAAACAAAAAATCGTCTCTTGGTGAATTCGGATGAGCACAATCACAAAAACACGTATGAATGTTTGCTATATGTCACGTATTACCAGTAGTACTTCACTGCAAAACTCTGACAGAGTACGTGTACAAAGCTATCACATTAGTCAAAAATACTGTATGTATTGAATTTTTACAGCAAAAAGCCCGACCAATTCTTGAAACGTACGTTGACCTTACAGGCAATTCCAGCCAGATTTACACTGCCTTGAGCGATAGGGAAACAAGCTTAAACCAATATCTGGTAGCAAATCTAATCCCCATCACACCCCGCAATTCTTTTTACTATGGATTTTCAAAACAATTTGATAATTTTAATCATCCACAAGTGGCCCATGTAAGCTTTTTCAAAGATCTCGCGATACTTCTCGGAAGAGCCCCCTATCCAATCCCTATCAAGTCGTGCACCTAAGCACAAAAATGTTCTATTTTCTCATGTACGGAATAGATAGAAGAGAGCAAACACAAACCTTTGATCTGAATCTGGACCTCCTTTTCAACTTTATCGAGCTTTGTGCTTGCTACACATTTGTACTTGGCCGAGTCGTATTGCGTTGGATTGATGACAAGTAGTGAATGATCATCTTCCACCTGCACAAATGTCATATTTGAACTGATAATGCACTAAGAAACTTAGTCTCTGAGCAAAATACTACTGCAAATAGCGAAAGGGCAACAAAAGGATAAGTCACCTTGTAGTGTCCAGTTTGCAAATGTACATCATTCAATGGTTGACCATTCACAAGCCATTCGTACGTGACTTCGAGCCTCAAAAAAATCTTTTTTCAAAATTGTAGGATAAAAAGAAAAGAAGAAATCCAAGAAATCCTTCATCACCATTACTTCATGTAGAAAAAAAAGCGAAGTAAAAATTTTTTAGAAAAAATTTACCGTTCATCAGGGCTGGCTTCGCAAGGCAATCTGATCGTTTCTCCGGCTATTCGAACTTCTTCAGGACGACGGAACGGTTCTAACCGTGTAGCCTCTGGGAGAGAAAAAATTGTTTTTGACCTACTGACTTCAAAAAAAAGATCACTACAAAAGCAGAGTTTTGCAAATTGGAAAATCTCCAACACGAGCATACTTACTTCGAACCAGAAGTTTAGCTGCACCTTTGGCCTGGCCATATTTATTGGTTCCCGTGCATTCATACTCTCCTTCAGCATCGGGTGTGACGTCTACAAGAAAAATGAACAGCTTTTCAAAGAAACTGCCGCACTTATTCTTGGATGGATGGACAAGTACTGCGACATCGTTACCAAGACAAAAAAGAAGTAAAAAATGACAGAACTTGCAACATAAGCTTCTATGACAAAAAATAAATAAGAGCCCACTTGGTATGACTAATTTCCCGACACCATGTGGATTTGCAGGAATGACGTTATGAGTAATGCCTTGGAGCAATGGGCTTGCCCAGGTTATCACAGCATTGGGACTAGCGAAGAATTTGCATTCAAGTGTTACGGATTGTCCCGCTACAGCTTCAACTTCTCCAGCATCGGTGAGCAGTTGAGGTTTGAATGCTGGAACATTCATGCATAAATTCACATCTCACAAAACCACCATAAAATACTCGTACCCAGCAGATTGAGGTAGAAGTTCGTCCATACATAACCATGCTTGTTCTCAGCTTTACACTGATACACGGCATTGTCTCCTTTACCATGAATGCCCTTCTTCACATCGTAGATCGTCAATCTTGTCGATTCAATCACCCATTTGTCGCCATCCTTTGGTTTTTTCATCTCTGAAAAAACAAAGACGTCTCTCGTTAAACATTGTTGACAGATAACTGAGAAAGAAACTAGCGTTGGTTTGAAAAAAGCGTGCAAGGCAATGACCTTTCAAACACGTGTCGAGAGCTTTTCTTCTAAGAGATAACATCAAGTTCTTACGCTCTTTTCTCGCACAAAGAAAGATGAATTGGTAGGATTAGTGCATAAGACTAACAATAAGATGGATTATTAGGCTCAGTCTTATACAAACAAAAAAAGAATGTAAAAAATATTTATCTGGTATTACATTCACTGCATTTCTTTAGGAATTTGACTTGAGTTCGAGTACATCAATCTTGCTTTCAAGAATAAAAAATAACTAAAACAGTGCGCCATAAGTACAGAGATTTTGCTGCGCCTACTAGGAAGTGATGAATGGATTGTATCGAAAAATACAGTCAACAAAAATAAAAAAGCTTGATCATCTGTCAAGCGAGAACCATGGACGTCCTGATCTTCCGAAGGGAGAATTTAGAAAAACTAACAAAATCTAAATATTTTTGATTTCGTTGAACCCTTAGTCAACAACTGTACGAAAAAATTCGAGAGTATTAGTGGAAAATGATACTAGGCACTTCCTCTTTCTGGCTACTTTCCAAATCGATTCGAAATATTACCAATCGAGTAGCTTATATAAAAAACGAAAAGCTCCAAGGAGACAAATAAAACTACTAGCCGTAGTTACTTCTGAAACCCATTTCTACTTCTTCAAAATTCTACATCTTTCTAGAATATCACCTTCTACCTGCTAAAATTTGATTAAAAAAATCACGAAAAAATTTCGTTCGCATATGTTCTCAACTTTCTACAGTAGCCCACATTTTCCTGCTCAGACTGTTTATTCATCGAGAATTCCCGCGAGGGAACAAGTGTTCGCTCGAATTTCATGGGTGGCTCGAAAGTGCAAACTGAGACGTAAACAATGCTCATTTTATGTTCAACAGAAGCACAAAAACTTGTTTAGCCCATTCAATGTCACCTTGCCAATTTTTTTTTCTCAAGAAAAAAATTTGGGTCCCAGATCTTGAAAATCTATAAAAATAAATATAAGAATATGATAATATTGAAATAAAAAAATATATGAATCTCAAGGAAGGTTCAGCTCACAAGATTTATAAATTCATAGTCAATGTTGCTGAAAAAAGGCCTTTTCATTTTCCAAGCTCATCTAATATTCCAGCCCCTCAATCAACGTCGATGCAAGCCCAAAGCTTTTATTTCAGTGTGTCCCTCAAACAAATGAAATCTCATTACCAAGTTTGCCCGAGCTACGATCGAATCGACTACTGCTCACGCTGGGGTGCAAATGCAGCTGAAGCCACAGACTAGGCTCTTCTGCTGGATAGATATTGCCCTCCACGACCATATCGCTCGTTTCGCACGCAATAAACAATTTCCATCTGGCGCATTTTTATCGAGAAGAAAAAACAAAGCACTATGAGCATTAACATTTTACGCTAATCGCTCCGCAATGTCGCGCAATCGAAAGCGTCTTTGAGGCAAATGAAAAAGAAAAATCGACTGAGACAGAAAAAGTTTGTAAAAACACTTACCAACGCCATTCTTGTAGAATGTGACCTTCGGCACGGGTTTTCCGCTTGTCGTGCAATCAAAGGTGACCGTTTCGCCTTCGCTCGTATTTGTATTGGGCGGCGGTCCATCAGGCCAATAAGGAGCGGCTAAAAATCCAAAAATTAGCAATTTAAGGAGATTTTTCATGAAGGTATGGTGTGTCTGATCCCTAGGGTCCCCATAACACAGCGCAACGATATTTGATATGCTTACATCTGTTGGATAGTCAACTGCAAGCACCAAAACAAGACTCGGATAAACAAAAGGATTCCCATGTCACGCTAATTTTAGGAAATGAGAGCTGTGCGCAAAACATGACTAAATTTACAGCAAAAGTTGACATTTTTCACTTCGAATTGCTTAAAATCAAATTTTTCTTTGCTGCTTTAGCCCAAGTCTAAAGAGAAAGCATTGCCAATCCCCAGCACTCTCAATCAGATCTCCAGAGGAAGTAAGGAAGTGCTCCGTGCCGCCGAACGGATTTCAAATCCAAACGTCATTGTTTGCCCATTTCAAAAACCCATTTGAATCAACCCCGAACCAGTTGGTCTTGACAAAAAGTTCTCGACGTTAGTCTGGCGCGATGTTTTTCGTTAGTCAGAGACGCTTCTTCGTTTAACAGGCTCACTCATGCAAAAGTCCTGCATATGACGGGCCTTAGTGGACATTTTGCAGCAAAAATCAATTTTTTCTGAACGATTAATCACGCGTGTTTGCTCAGTCAAAACCTTCCCAAAATATTCTTGGAGGGACTCCATTCCTTCAAAAACGCCATTCTTCATCGCTCATTATGCACGAAAAATGTTCAACAAAGAACGGAAATTTGCATGATGATTAATTAGCTATCATGGAAGTCATCTATTACTACAGCAGGACAATGTTTATTTACCGAGAATTTGAATAACTGAGCTGATATATTTCGATATTCCGACATGATGTATTCTTTGGTTTGGTCGTGGGTTCCTCAGACTTCGCAAAAAAAATATTGTCCTCAAAATTACACAACTTGTGTAGAAACTATTATTTTACAGAAAAAGTGATGGAAGCTAGCATGGCAGTTCAGACGCTTCAATCTGCTTCTTTTGTATCATCATATTAACAAAAAAGAAAATTCGATTAGCTTAGTTCCAGTCACATCACGATTTTTCATTAACGTATCAAAAGCATGATTAACGTTGGACTTAGTTGAAATTGTGCAGGCGGAACCCTTCTCTCTCCCAACACAAAAAGCGCTGAAAACGAAATGGCTGTTAGAGTGTAATTTCCTTTCGCATAAAAGCCTGCAAGAGGAAATGGGGTGCCAATATTCGAATGACCATGACAAAGTGCAACCATTTGCAGGGAATTATTCACAGAGCATCAATCACTATCAAAAGTGCGAGTCAAGTCAATGAAATTTACAACACTTTCGGCTGCATAGTGTGTCATTAACATCCCAAAACGTAGGCATATTACTTTTGCAAAAGTTTCGCTGCACTTTTCAATCTCCCCGGGGAAATTCATGCACGCATAGCAGTCCTCAACCGTCGCTGACGAAAGTGACATTTTGCGACTTTATGGAAATTGATGATTCTAGTGAAACGTGACCACCCTATGCCATGACGATCGCTAACATAAAAAAGCGAGATTTCTGCGCCGATAAAATCAAAGCGAAAAAAGGCGACTTTTCCGCAGAATCAAAGAATGACAAGATCAAGAAAACAACCAAGTATGAAAACAGAAGAAAAACTCAGTAGTTCCAATAACCCTCACCTTCAACGATGACGTTGAATGTCCTGTCGATATCATTATGTACGGGGAAACGGCAGTCATACTTGCCCGCTTTGTCCTGTGTCACGTTGAATACCTAAAAAAATACCTCGAAAATTTTACAGAAAACTCTATTTATAACTAACCAGTGTCTTTCCGTAGGCTTCAAATCGAAATCCTTCCGCTGTATCCTCGCTGATCTCATGCCCGTTATGATACCATGTTGGTTTCGGAGCGGGACTGCAAAAAATTTTTATTCATAGATTTATCAAAATCATATTGAATGGCAATTTCTCTCAATAACGGAGCTCATAAGCAACCAATCTCGACCATTAGTGGGCCATCTGGCTGGCATTTATTCCGCTACACAAGCAATCTTAGCGTAAACGTCCAAGCATATAATGGAATGTACGGTGCAAAAAAGTTGGTTCTGCGCAAACTTCATTTCTAAGCTCCTCAGGTATTTATGGTAATGAATATACTTTATTATCAATCAGAACTACCAAAGAATCAAATCACAGCATTCAAAAGGCACATTCTGCCTGCTCCCAAAGTAGCTGTGTCGCACCGAGGCGAAAATCTGGGAAACTGCGACAGGGGGTAATTTATGTCCTTTTAAAGAATGATTAAATACTTTCGGGCAGCAGAATACGTTCAACAAAGATTTATTTCGTCTGAATGACGACTGCTCAAATTCGAATCAAACAGCGCAACGAGAAAATATTTGAATTTTTGATGAGTTATGTTGTAAGCCGCGCAGGTTTGTTAAGTTTTTTATTTAAAATATTATTTGAATTTTGTCGCAGATCTCGAACATAGAAGGAAACTTTGTGTAGTTCTTCCATCGCCGAAAATAGAGCCTTTCATTTTCTGCCAAAGTGCAACAGAGAACAATTACATTCCACTTCTTACCACTAACACAGGTTCTTCTACTCCATCTACAGCCATCTGCCATAAATCAACATTCTCCCATTTCCCCATCAGTCACTACTTAGTTACTTTCAGCGTTGCAACATACATTCTGTCCTCACTCACACAAAGGGAATGACTTTGTTATGCTCCTTTGGCATGAAGAACCGAGTTTTATGAGGGTGACTCAGACTCTCTCGAGAATTTGTAACATTTTTTATATGGAAGCCGTACTTCGATCATCCCAGAAAAAATCGATACCACAGTGATTATTTTGCAGCTCAGGTTGCTACGACAGACTAACCATTGACGCTCATGACAGATTCGTCTTTCTGGAAATCTTCAATCCGCCGTGGAAGCAATATCCTGACTACTGGGAGGACATCAAGCGCAAAAATTTTAAAAATCAATCGTCGTAATGTTTGTCGACTGAAAACAAGCCTACACGCCAACGTTGATTATTATTAGCTTCAGCAAATATTGCCCCAGGGTCCGATTAATGGTGACTGGCTTCTTCACAGAACCCTCAACAATCCCCCAAAAAACTGACTCAAATTGCGAGACAGTAGTGGAAGATTTTATTTCCTACCCCGCTCAATTTTCCATTAGTCACTCGTAAGTGGTCGATAGTCATTCCAGAGCCCTCTCCTCTCTCTCCAAAAAACAGATGGTGTGGAATGTGTCGAATAACGTGCCTTTATTGCATTCAATTTATTCACGTTCCACAGAAATTCAATGGATGGCTAGATATGGCACATCATAACTGCCATTTGAATTTTTAATTAAGCGCGGGGTAAGCGTCTGGGTTCCTTCAATGGAATCGATCGATTTACTTTTGTCAGAAGTTTTCCTACTTCCAACAAAAGTAGATTTTCTATTCCGTTACCATCTATGCCAAGACGTGACTGCAGTTAGGTTTTCCAGACTGCAGCAGCAATACATGGCTTCTTATAAGCACTTTTATACCAGGAGAACAGGTTCGAATGAAAGAGTTCAGAATCTCATTCAAAAGCAATTCTCATGACGCATCAATGCTTCTATACAAGGAACAATATAGCTTGCATGCATTGCGAACGCCTATGCCTCCCGACAGCGGCGCTCGCAATAAACTCGGGCATCAAATTCGGACCAAAGACTAGCTATGTCCACTCGAAAACAACGAGTTCAAAAGCTAGTGGAGTTGGCGGCGCTGCTATGAAAGGCTCCGTCCACCAAAATGAAGATAGTGAGATTTTGGTACGATAGAATAGCGGGGCCTTAAGCTAATTGTAATTAGACGCCTAAGTTCAGCTGCAAAAGAGGATTCCGAAGTGGGAAAGTCGCTTCAGAAGGTAGAAGCGGCCGGGGTGGCTCCGCCCATCAATGTGGGTGGTCTGGAAATAGTATATTCGAAAATGGGCTTTAAATTAGGTAGAACTGTCGATACTGTAGTAATGAATGACAATTTTGGACATATTAAAGCCCAATTTTGGATCTGTCAACTTCAATCACCCACTTTGATGGGCGGAGTCACCTTGGCAGCTTGTCTCTTCTGGAGCGATTTTCCTGCTTTAAAATTCATAATTTGTAATTTGACTTGGGCGAATAAGTTGGTTAGAGTCTCCGCTATTATACAGGCTTCAGATTCTCACCATCCTCATTTGAGTACTGCTTTAAGGCAAGATTCTCGCACCCTGTAATTAGATGTCTAACAGCTTCCTGATGACTTGTGTACGCGACTGGACACCAACATAGCGTAAACAACGATCAATATCGCATCCGTAAACAACGGCACCGAACGAGACATAGGCACGGGTAATAGCATTGACCGTTGCAATCCGCGCGCGGAAACTCTTCTCGTTCTCAAGCACTGGGAAATCTCAATGTGTGCGCGTGCGCGCTTCACCGATGCAGTGTCTCCATGTCCATTATCGGGCAGTAACGGAGGCGATTCGCCCTCAAATGATGCTAGCTGAAGACTTCCAAAGCAGCCCATCCTCATATACACACACGCTATCCATTTCTTCAACCCACACGCGCACGTCAAGGCCAGAGCGGCAATGCGAATCGGCTCAAGCGAAATGCAAATGAAGTCTGAGAGGAGATCGTTGGGCGCTTGCGTGTGTCCCTCTCTCCGTTCCGGGAAAAGACGTCGTCGAGTCGTCAGCAAAAGATCGACCTCCATGGCTGTTGTGGCGTGTGTCAGGCATCGACTGCCACTGATGACTTTGCAATGCCCCCTGGGGCTATTCTCATTGCTCGCTACTAGCACAACTATGGCAGTAATGTCTGCGTTCATCAAAAGCGTATGGAAGTTGCACTTCAACGAAGACTTTGAGGTACACTATGGTGATTGGAACACTCTAAGAAAAATTCGAATCTAGAAATGTTCTGCCAAAAATGCAGCGATAAACTGGAGACGGATTAGTTGACAAATGTAAGACAAAACAAGTTTTTGTTCAGAGCACTGAAGCTTTTTTGAACAGAGAAAAATTTGAATTAACTTATAGGTACTAACAAATGGACTAACTGCTTCGAATGAGATGCACCTTCGGCTTTACGCTTTTCTTTTCTTCATTTTTTTTACCACAAACACTACTGCAAAGGACAGGTGAGTACTTTCTACGCCAGTTAACCTTCGACATTTGCCCAACAAAAAAACCAGTTGTGAGAATGGATATATCCAGAATTCAACCTTATAATGACAATAATATCTGCTGCTAATATCTTTGGCAATCAAAAACGTTATAAGAAAATCGCAATCCTTCATTTTCTTGTTTGTCAAGATTAGAGAAAAATACAACTTTTTTTTTACATAAATCGCTGAGCACTGATAAGATAAGAAAAAATTGCTACTGTTGGCAGCAAAAAGTACTAGCAATCGCATTTGCAAGCATCAAGAGCTAATATTCTCTAATCGCTTCATCGTGACCTAAACATCTCAAAAAAAAAAAAAACAAAAGAGAGGAAGAACATGCAATCAGAGCTGGCAAACAGCCAGAATCGGCTGCATTTGTATTGAGGCCATTAACGTAATTTGCTTGGTCAACGCGCGTGATTGAAGGGAATTTCGGACAAAAAACAAGGAAGAAAAATGGAAGCTTGCAAGAGTGGGAGTGGGTGGACGGTGAGTGGAAGAATCAAGTACGAAAAAGTTGTAAAAATAAATGAGAAAAAAAAAAAGAAAAAACTCACTATCCCGAGAAGAAGCAGTGTAGCTTGTGCTGCTGTCCTTGTAAAGCAATTGGTGAACTCTGATTGACGTACTGCTCCGTTGGTGGCACATTTCCCACTGCAAATACTTGTCATTTCATATTTTACTCTAATTTTCTTTGCATTTCTCTTTTTCCCTTCGTGCTGATCAATGTCAAGTCAAGTGGCGAATTTACGACGGGCTGTGTTACTCAAATTACTACCCCGAAAACGTCTGTTGATGACCCGAATAACGGCGCTCGAGTCTCTCACGACTGACTGTAAACAGCTATGTCAACTTGATGCAAAATCGACATGTCTAATGGGAGAAACGGAGCCGAAGGGCCCTAATCAATGCTGACAAGGTGTTATACGAATCAATCATTTCAGCATACAATTCACTACGAACGTGGCGTCGGGCGTGCGTAACGAAAAATTTCTGTTCGGCTGAGCCGTAAGCAATCTCTCAGGGTACATCAACACACAACACTGATCTGTCTCGCAAATATATCATAGCGCAAGCGAAAAAAAAAGAGAAAAGGTGAAACCGATCAGTCACATATGATCCTTACAACGGGGCAGAAAAGTACACACGCAACTGTGCAAAAATGAGCAATTTCACACTGTTCCTATAGTGCAATCACAATGCAGAAAAGGTCAAAAATGGAGATTCTAGCAGACAGCACGTTTTTGCAAAGCCCCTCTCTCCAAAAAGCCAAACACATGAGAGCCGCACTTTCGCTCCAATTCCCTTTTTCGTTCAATGATTCCGGCTGTTTCGTCAAGGATTCGTGGAAAAACCGCATTAACGAATGTTCTGAAGTGATTTGTCCCCAACTATTGGAGCGTGGAAAATAACGGAAAATTGAAGTGGAAAAACTAGGAACATGTTTCCATGTGAACCGGCTTTTTTACAGCGAAAAGTGCAACAAAATCCCTCTATTCAGAGGTGCTCTAGCTGTATTTGTAGCGCATGTAAAACAAGGTTGGATCGAATTTCATCAGCTCTTACTTATGAACATTTTGAACATTTTCAAGGTCATCGTGAAAGATTTATGAACTGTCTCATAAATTCCAAAACCAAAGATAAGTTTCGTACTGCGCTGACAAGCGATTTTTCTTCTATGTTTACCACTACGCGAGAATCGAAAAAGCTGACGTCCACGGAAAAGATTAACTCGCCGCTTGGCCAAAGATAAGCTCGATTCCACTCTATACTGAGATTAAATCTCAGCGCCTTATGTACCAGGACCTTTCACATCAAAAAATGACCCGACTACGTTACGATACGAGAGTTGACGCCAATGTGCTTGCCATCAACTCCCAGCGGCTTTCTTTCATTGCACCTATTTGTCACATCTGTGCTGTCTGTCTGTGCGTGGGGTTAGGCGTTGGCTGTGGGGCTCGGGGATTATGCTGGGACGGGCGCGAAATGGTCCGCATGGTGGGCAATGAATGATTCAAACGGAAATGCATTGACATTCATTACTCGCTCGAATGAACCGTTTTCAATGGCAATTGGCTAGCTAATGGTCATCACCTAATGGTGCCAGGTAGCACTTAGTGGACTTCGGCTACCTTCAACATCAACAAGAAAGCTATTAGAGGTGATTGAGGTAGCAACTGTGCATACGAAAATATCGGAACCGAGGATAATAATTAACTTAAGTAAAAAAATCTAATCCAGACTCATCTCCTTGACTTTTTATACGGCTCAGATTTTTTTTTTGAAAGAAAAAAGCAGCTAATCCAGCGGGACTTATTGATATGACAATAACACGAGCAACTCATTCCACCTTCTTTTACGCACGAAAATTTTTTCTGCTAAAAAAGCACGCAATGTTCTTTCAACCTGCTGCAAAAATATTCGAAAATTTCCCAATTTCATTTGCAAGCGGCCCAAAATGATCGCCATCCATCGTGAACAAAACAGGTTATTCAAATAAACTACTGAATTTCAAAGTTTCTTTTTCCATCTGTTTCAGTAGGTGCACCAACTGGATGGTAAACCAAATGCAATTTCGAACATAGAGTGCAGAACACTGAATGGATTCGGCTTCAAGGTGCCTCTGATGGAAGCATAGGCATTCCAGGACTTGTGAAATTGAAACTACGTATTTAACCCAAAATTCTAGCCTGCTATCGAAAAAATTCAACAATTTACACAGACAATTTCAGCACAATTCTCTATTTATTCTCACTAATAACGCCAGAGAATTTGCGGCAACACTTCGACTGGAAATTCAACACCCTACGATCGTAATAACAGCCAGCATGAATGCGAGTACACCGCAGCTCCATCGTCTCATCAACGCTCTAATCTTTGCAATTTGCTGGGAGATATATTGGAAACGATAATGCTCATGCTTTATACATCTTGAACATTTCCTCATACGCCTGGGAATAATGGGCAATCAAACGATAGTTTTTAGAACAAAGATAGCGGCAAATGTTTGCTTTCGAAGTACGCTGTGCTTTTTTCACTATTCCAGCAAATAAAAAGAAAAATACAAAAAACTTCGCCTCTCGGGCTGCATGTTCACACTGTACATTGTACATAGATTTGTCGATCTAATTCACATATTGCACGCAATAAAATGTAACTATCAAAATGACGATGTCCCCATAAAAGGCAATTTCATATCAGAAAAAAAAGCAGTCAACATTAAGCACGTATGCAATTCAATGCAGAATCTCTCCCTCTCATGTCATTTCCAGCAAAAGGACAAAGCGACGAAAGCAATGGGGCATGACCGAAATCGTAATGGCCGCAGTCGTTACAGTAGAATTTCGCTAATAACTCGATCGAATTCTAATAACGAAGGTGCCACGCAAGTGTCATCCTTCATGCTGGGAACTTTACATCGAGATTGGTGTATATCGCAGCTGTTTTTCTGTTTGTGTCGCTGTTTCACGACACAAGAGGCGAAAGCGTATCTTTGCCGCGTATCGAGGAGAGTGAGTGTAATGCATAAAGATCACTAAACCTCAGCACAACATCTAGATAAACGAACGAAAGAACAACTGTCGTTGACACGAATTGCGAGAAAGGAATCACGCAAATAAGCTCAGCTGAGCTGAAAAAACTGTCCTGCAAGAACACAGATGAAGAAAACGGAAAGAAAACGGAAGCCGTTTGAGGCTGGCAGCAAAACAGAGAGGACATCGGAGCCTAGATGATGTTTTCAGCTGTTCCTTAGATGGACTATTTACGCGGCTAGACAGAATACGAACGCCAAAACATTCAGGAATTCAAGTGAAAAACACGGATTTTGCACTTGACTGAGCATTATACGAGGTTAGGAAAGTTAATGAATTTCTCCCTCGAAAAAAAAAACGGATACAGCAGAAAGGCAAACGAAAGCAAAGAAAAAAAAAAGAAATTAATGCAATCAAAGCATTAAGACTCACGACTTCTCCGCCGATTTGTAGTGATTTCAAGGCTGAATTGACTGCCGAATTTGTAATCCTTGAGTTCGGTGTTTTCAGCAGTGCAAGTGTAGAATCGGTTCGGCTTCAAATCGGATTCTTTCACAAAATGAAAGAAAATTGTACCCTAAATATAAAGTTCAACTCACCAAATAGCCAACTGCTAACAGCAGAGGTATTGATAATAATAGTAGCATACTGCAGATCTACCACTGAATGATGAGGTGTGTGAACTTTTATTGTGGCAGCGAATATTTTGCTTCAATTTGTTCGGCAAAAACGAATATGTAGATTTATGCTGGCAGGGATGTGTAATGGGTAACTGTATAGCAACGTGTAGTTTCGGAAAACCCGTTAGGGACAGTGGTGGACGACAGAGCAAAATGCGACTAGCGCACTCGGCATTGATTCCCAAACAACCAACACAACACAGGCAGCAGCGGCAGAGTTGCCTACGAGACGGCAGAGCTCAGTAGAGCGCCAGCCGACGACCAGCCAGCCAGCCAGCCCACCCCGCCCCTCCAGCCTGCTGCTGGCAGCAATCATCTCTCCCCCCCCCCCACCCTCGTCTCGAACTCCAGCGCGACCCCCTGCGCAACAAACAACCTGAAACAACCGTTGCGCTACTTACGTCAAGTGTCGACCCCAGGAGCCTGTTTGACAACGGGAGGAGGTGTTGAGAGTTGCTTTCTTCCCATTCACACTTCCTTCCACCGCATCTACAAGGGAGGAAGAACGAACTCAGCCATTTTAAGGCTCCCTTAGCGGTCATCGGGCCTTCTGCATGTCGTTTGAGGATCAGTAGTCCACAGGGACGACCCAAAACAGAGTTCGTTCCGTTACCGCATCTACACTACTAGAAACCCTGCACGGTTGCAGAAGATTTGCACTGCAGAAGCGTGCTGAAGCGAGAAGAAGTGCTTCCACAGCTGTGCACCCACCATGTGACACACGTGCAAATAATCCTTCAAATGCACAAATTGCCCAAGGACAGCTCCAAATTAGTCATGGATCATATGTAGGCGGTAGCTGAATATAAAATGCACGCGGAAGCAGGCGACGCGCACAACACTGCACACAAGCAGGTTCTTAACCTCTCATTAAAATTTTTAATATCCTCTAGCTCAGCATTTATAGCTAACAGGATGATTGCAGCATAATCACACACACGGAACCCAGCATGCAACTAACAAAAAGCAAAAGCTGACAGCATAACACGTGCTCGACTATAAATCGCACATGTTACTGGCTGCAGAAGAAAAGCGAGGCTAAAAACATAACAACAACTGCCAATTTGTTAATCTGCTTACGAAGTAAAGTAAACGAGTAGTTTTACACTAATCTCTACGCATCTACCAGTTTCCGCCTCCGACACACGCATTCTTCTATCCCTAGAGACGTTCCATCCGTGACTGACCGCGCCCAGGCTTTCGCCGTTTCGCATGTGGAACCTTCGTCAGGGACATGACACGAAAAAGCATTTAATGCATCTTTTATGTCACTTTGAAGCAAAATAGCGAAAGCAAACACTTAAAGGTCGAACAGTGCCAAATGGGAATTCTCTACTTCATGAACCGAGCGAAGGTCCATCAAACTGGGATCAAGGTCTCTCTCCTCGACCCGCTGTTTGCACGGAGCGGACACGTTGCATTCAGCTCCTAGCGCCATTGTTTGATCAGAACTTCCCTTGTCGCGTGTGCAATGCCATAATTCAGGGAAACGTACAGCTTCCTGCGTCGGCAGAAATTCAATACTTCTTCTTGCGCAACAGTTCTTCTATTTACAGTTCTCGTGCGAGAAAAAGGTATTTGACCCCATGCCAATAGCTGGGCCAGCTTCTTTAGTCCATCAACAGCTACTCATTTTTAGAGCGATGAATGAAATGAATAGCTGCAGTTGAACCTAAAAAGCAAAATCAGCTACTGGCACATTGCCAATCGCCTCTTACTCACCCGAGAACTGTAGACCGAAGAAATCCCACGCAAGTGACACATACGGGTTTCGCAAGTGCACAAAACGGGTTATAAATAACAACGCTGACTACCCTATGATTACTGAGTGCATTTAGGTGTGCGCGCGAGGGTAACTACCGACCGGCGCTACTCATCGACCTTACATGAGTGCGTTGCATTCATGAAACATCGACGAGGAGGTTACAGAGTGCCCTGCATGCAAAAACAGGGATTGTACACTCAGTGGCGAGGTTTTCGAAGTGCTATTCGTTCAGGGAACATTCTCGAGCAAACACTGAATAATTCCGAAATTCGATGTTCGCTACACGGGGAGAGTTTTCGGAGGTAAAATTACATAACGAGATAACATATCACAGATTCCCACCATGCCATACCGTACTCTAATTATGGCAGCCTGACAATATTCTCAGAAAAAATCTTACACTCAAAATGATATCGAATCAAATGAGTGGCCATCGCAATGAAAATAAACAACTGAAGCATACGTTTTTAATGAGCGAGATCTGGACCTCGTTTGAGGACTCCGACTATAAAAAATGAGTCACGCACAGAAAAAAAAATTCCCGAGCGTTTTGGAAGAGCTGCGGGCACAAATTTGCAAAAAGTTGACGGAGTCGAACAGCCATTCCAGAAAAGACAAAAGCCATTCCAGAAAAGACAAAAGTACACAAAAGAAAGTGAAACATAGCGAATGAAATCAATGTTGTGATGCAGATGGCACGAAACATGATGACAGATGCAGAAGTCAAAAAGTGTAACATCAATGAACAAGGTGTCGAAGAAAAAAGGAAAAGAATGCGAATCAGCAAAAAAAAAACGAAAAACGAAAAAAGAGAGCTACTCCTTCATCTTTCATCAATTAATTTAGAACTTGACTTTATCGCGAAATCAAAATTTAGAGCATTGTGGAAGGAGATCCATGCTCAGAAGCAAAAAAAGACATCTGAGCAGTATTAATCGAATATTTGAAAGAGCTGCAACGGATGAAACAGCTGCGATTATGTCCATTATCAAAAATGAGGCGAGGGAGAGCTTCTTGACCAGATTAGATTGGAACAATCTGCTATCCAGTTTTGCCAAAACGTTTGTGACCGTAATGTTAGTTGCATCTAACAGTAGGATTTAAAAGAACTATAGGTGGCCTGTAGGTCAGTTTTGAGGAAGAGGCAATGATGTCTTCGGCTATGACTGACTGACTGAAACAGCAATGACTCTCCCAAAAAACCCTGAGGAACCCTAAAATTGACCCCCGAGTTAGAGACCCGCTCCAGTCCGTCCTGTTCCTACTTTCCACCAGTAAAAACAACTACTTGAAAACTACCGCTGCCACAAAACACATTTTCCGGGATCAACATATAGCGGTAGCGGGAATGATGGGAGGCACTTAGAAGCGCTCCGGCGCCGATTGTCTGTTGTTGTTTGCATCATTCACAATTAAATGACACTTTGCAATGAATTTTATGCGTATGTTCACCATTTAGTGGTGGTAACACATTCCTCTACATTCCTTGCAGCTATCATAAAAAAGCAGTCATTTATCTGCAGTATGCTATTTGCATGACAAAGAGCGAGAAAGGAAAAATACGAAAGGAAACGTAATTGCAGCGGCAAGAGGAAAAAAGGAGCGATAGGGGAACTGACCTGTTCGTTGCTGGATATATGGCTGCTGTTGATGGATTCAAACGTCACAGCTGTCCCTTCGTCACCTTTGAGAATCCAATACACACTGAAAAACTTGAAATGGATAGGCAACAAGCGAGTACGCTGGGATATGTCAATGCTAAGAGTACATCCACTCAAAAGCATGTCAACTCTGGCAATATTAGCCCTAGTATTGCAAAAGAGTATGTACTATGGGGACATACCGGGCAGTCGGGTTGCTTACAGGTGGCGTACAATTTCGGGAGTATGGATCACCCAATTCGACTCGCACCACTTCAGGCTCGATTATGGGAAAATGTCGAATCCCTGAACAAAAACTGAAGTAAGCAGGCTATCTAATTCATGCAAAAGACTCTAAGAGATTTTCAGCAGTACATAATGAAAGAGACAAATCCTGACACTTTCAAAAAGCGATCTATTTATTTTACTTTTTCAACCATAATGATGATATGGTACATTTCAAAACTAGTTTCGTTAGTCACTCCTCACCATTTACAGCATAAACTTAGAACTTTGTCCACGCTACCCATTCGTGGTCACACGATATTCTAGTGATGGATAATCTTAATGTCCCGGTACATAGGCCATGTTTTAATCTGAGCAATGAACGTTTGAGTGCACCGTTCGTTCGTCAAAGTTTCAGATTTCTGTAAGCATTTTTTTGGGGTTAAAAACTACACGCGAGCTCTTAATGGAGCATCGAACTCTAAAGTAAACTATCGCACGGCAATCGTAAAATGCAATTTGTGGTATTTTCCGTGAAACCCGATGATTTGCAACCAACATTCGTTCAAATGGTAGGGAAAAGGAAAAAGGATCATAAACATCCTTGATACTGATTAAATTCGACATACGAACGAGTTCTCAGTTGTTCAGTTCATTGCTAGGATTGTCTACTAACCGGTCGTTCCGGCACAGCATTCGTTTTCAAGGTATTTTGAACGATAAGTCTAGAAAGTTCGCTCGCGATCTAAAGAGATGTCGAATTCGGTGCCTAATAGGCTTTAAGGTAGGAAGATTTGAGCTAAAAGGGCGAGGAAAAAGCTCTGCGGAAGAATAACCATAACTACCAGCTACAGCGCAGTGTGCAATTTGGACCAGCCAACGACTGATGCGAACAGCAGGTGCAACGATAAAAAGATCTATTTGTAGTCCATTAATTTCTTTAGGAGCTGACGTATTAAAGCGGACTAGCGAATAGATACTATAGCAAGCAAAAACTCCGCTGCTGTGCATATACGCCATCCCTTCCAAATTCTTTAGAAACGATAGGAAAAACCTAGGATCGATTGAATCTTCTGGGAAGGAAAACCCACTATAACAGTGCTTTTCTCGGTACTTTACGGAACAAATGAAAGAAGAAAGTGCGAATGCTACACACTATCTCCATATCTTCCATAGTTCCCATGTCACCTCTTATTGAAAGCTTCCAGCAATAAGCTGTCTAAGCCACCGAAAAACAAAGGCTGACTTTAGAAATGGAAGCATCTCGTTAGGCCTGATGTATGACTAGCATAAGCAAGCATTGTACCAGCTAGTGCTTATACTGAGAAAGCTTGATAGAAGAGGAAGCGCATCGTCTAATGGGTATCCCAAAAGCTCATCTTGCTTTCTGTAATGTGGAGAACCTCTTTGACTATCGCGGTTTGGGGCATTGTAAATAGTCCCTTCCTTCGATGTCTGACAATTTTTTTCTTGGAACACGCACTTATCACTGAAGGAGGGAGCCAACCCACCCCCCCCCCTCCTTCCGTGGAAATGGGCCGCGAGATTCTCTAAGATCCTGAGATCCTGTATGTTTTCATCCGTGAAAAACCAATCTTTCAAAAAATTTTCAAAAGGTAGAATAGCTCTTTGAGAAAATTTTTCGCGAGTGTGGCTGCTGCCATCCCCTTTTTTTCTGAAATTTTCGAGTTACAGACACACCAAAAATGCGATAAGGACCCAAAAAATCTGAGGCTGGCTCTTTGTCTCCCCACCCCCCTCACCCCGATCGAAATCTCTTAAGCGAACCACATCTACGTCGAGTGAACTGCCACTTCCACAACGAAGCTTTTGCAACATCTGCTTTCCTACTTATATGAGAAGTATAGGTGGGGCACAAATATTCGGAAACCTCAGCAAATGATTTCCCTGATAAAATTCTAATCTGGGAGAAAACTTTTTATCATTTGATAGCATATGATGACTTTCAACAATGGAATTTTCCATACACTGGATCACCTGACTCAAACTCATTCCAGATCAATTAAGAAATATACTATGTACACTACAGCCTGGGAAGCTAGGCGCTTAACAGTGAGTTCGAAAGAAGATATATTACTAGTTGATACTCCCATTTTTACAGATACTCGAATGGGCTTTCGTCTATTTGACCATAATATTCGCATTTCTATCTATAACTTTCGGATGTTACTTCACTTTCATGACAAGACATGGGGCACACCGAGTATTTTTAGAACGGATAGAAGAGATGGAAGAAGGTAACCTTGCTTTACACAACGAATCTATTAACAAAATTCCTTTTCTAATATAGTTTTACTAGCCATCAAGAACGCACTTCGCACTTGATACCCTTGAGCGTATGCGATCCCATCTAATCGAAAATGCATGTAGAAAAGTCGACTTGGGCAAATTGAAGCGAAACTTTGCATACGAAGCAACGCTGATGTCAGCTTCTGCAAAATGAGGAAGGGAAACTTCTGCTGTCATGATGTTCTTCGACTCGGTGCGTTCAGTGGATTGTGAGTATGAAGGAGCGAGAAACAACAAAGAGCAAATAACCTGATCTTAAATTAGCATGTCTATTTGAGTTTCGGTGATAGGACTTTGCAAAGCGTGGCCCACTTGGATTCTTTGATAATTTTGTTGGAATATGAAAAGAGAAAAGTTGGAAACTATCTGTCACCCATACCAAGAGATACCGAAACTGCAAGAATTTTGTAAATACCAAGAATCTTTTTACCTTCCACACCGTTAGTTCATCTCCTCAGAGATGGGTGCTTCGTCTGACCAACTTAAGTCCAGACTACGTCATTCAAAAGAAGCACAAAAGCCTTTCTAATGGATTGCTCTACGCAATGCAAGTTCTGCAATTGACAAACGGCACTGCTAACTTGACTGAGCCAAGTCAACTCAGATAAGCTCGAAAATGGCTATCGGGGTTGACAGCCATGGCAGACCTGCATTTTTTATCCTCAGGGAGATACCTATTTCGGAGCTGCTGCTCTACAAAACTAAGCTAATGAAACATTCACAAAAGCGTGGCAAACGCAATTGTATCAGTTCCTCTTACCCATGAAAAGCAAGCAAGAAGGCTGCAGAATGGTTGACTCAAAGATCGTACATTCCGGATCGTTTGAAAATATATTACTGGGGTGGGAAAGTAACGAGACACTTGCGAAGAGCAGTACTTTCGCAGCAAAACATGTACGACCACTCAAATATCAGTGCTACACTGGGAGAAAAAACTCACTGTATCAACAAAACCTTAATAGTATCAAGGTATTGTGTCAGGAGATGTAGTCAAGCGCAGTTTCGGGATAAAGGCCAAACTTTTAGGATATAACTGAAAAAGTTTTTACACTCCAGCCATCTATGTGCAAATAATCTCAATTTTCCTTCATATCTGGAAAATAACTGAAACATGATTCGTTGCGCTTTCATTGCGCCGAAAACTCGCATCTTCTCGAGTTTTCGGCTTTTCTTTGTGAAAACGAAAAAATCACGTAAGACTTTGCGTTGTAGCAGCGCAACTATAAGGGAGCTCCCAAAACCTTGGTCTGACTTCTTCCAAGCGCAATCCCAGACCGGAGGAAGAGCGATAGCGAATTGCCAGAAAGCGAAGGCCACTCAAGTGATGTTCTAGTTATCGCCTGGTTACTGTTACTGTAGATCAAAACAAGAAGTATCAACATGTAGAAAACAATCAAGCTATCCCACCACTTTCCCGATATTTACTAACTACTGAGCTGTTTACTACTTAGTAAATATGGGTCAATGAAGTGCTATTGATGCATCTGCTCACTGAAGTGCTGTTGATGCTTTCAGCTAATTGCTCAAAATATATCATCTTCTGGAGACAACGATCTAGAACCATCAGCGATTTCGTCTTGACTTGCAGATTTACTTTTCAAGGGTTTTCATAGCGATTTTCAGCTCCACCCCCCCCCCCGGAAAATTCATCCATATAATAACTGTGGCTCTTGTTCTTCAAATACATGAAAGCTCCTTCAATAACATTGCCTGTGGAATATTGAAGACCGCATATATACGACTGTAAAAAACTATACTAAAAAGTTACCAAATTCAATTTTGCGCAACATCCAATATCCAAGATAGACTATTCTCAATTAAAAAGCAGCCATTCATGTATCACATACGTTTGCGTGCAAAGATTAGAGTTGTTTGAATGTTTAGACTCGAAAACTTCAAAAAATCCGACGGAAAGCCCGAACAACTTTGATTTATAGTAGATAGTACAACAGTATCGTATTGCCCATTCGTGTAAATAAGAACCAGAAAACTGATCCGCAGCACCGACCCTCAATTTTTTTCGATTCAAGACGGAAAAGCCTAAAATTAGAAGCTAATCAGGAATATTTGACTTGCATAAAAAATCACTGCTTTTCAGATTCTGACGATGAAAGTGAAGATGAAACAGAAACGCTTTCCACTACAAATACGGGATTAACAATAACAGCCAGTGCAGCTCAACTGCTCGAGTTAGCTCAAAAATCCTCACAGACTAGGACCACTAGCACTGTTGGTCGACCTACTCTTATGACTTCGGATTCTGTTTCATCAGCAGCCCCTACATCAACAGCCCCTTCTTCAACAGCCCCTTCTTCAACAGCCACCAATTGAATGTGAATGCCATTGTAGCGAAGACAACAAAAAATCGTTGAAGTGTGATATGAATCATTTTACATTTAATTTGCAAGTGTTATGGAAGATCACGAAGATAAATGACTTAGGATACGCATGGCCTATCAGCTCTTTATGAGCGGACGAGAAGATGATATCTTTTGTACTTTGTGCAAATGAATAATGTTTGCAAAATACGGAGGCTTCATTACTGCTATTTCTATTTACAGGCGGAGCAGGTGATTCAAAAAAAAAAGAAGTCACCAAATATTATTCAGTAGCACGAAGTACCGCTATCTCATCCAAAATGAGTCACAAATACATGTTTAGATCTTAGGGATAGTGAATAGGTAGATGTTTCTAAACTGTACGAAAAGTTCCACAGTATTGAGCACATTTTGTGCTTTTCGCTAACTGACAAGGATAGAAAGGATCTGCAAATTTGTGATCAAAATTTTCTTTCAGAATCATATGGAGCTGTGGCAATCGTCGAAACACAGGTTATAAAAAAGCATCCGTACTCAAAACAATGCACATTTTGGATATGACCATGGAAAACTGCGTAGTTTTCTGCCGTGTTGTAAAAAAAATTCTATCTTTCATTATGTGCACACACATAGTGCATAGCTTGAAATCTGAAAATTTTTCATGTAAGGCCTCACGCATACTCTGCGCGATTGCGAAAACTTGCTATCGCTGGCGACTTGACAGCTGTCATCAATTCCCACCTCGCGCAAATGCACACACGCATAGTTTTCATAAGTTGATGCAAGCTTGTCTAAAACTGCTCAAGGAGAGTAGGCTTACAAAGAATTATGAGCAATTGTAGCAATGCCAAATCGCGCGGGGTTTGAAAGATGCCTAACGGCATGTGGCTTTGTATCAGATTTTCAAAATGACCCTATAAAGATATTCTACGCAAGACTGAATCAAACTACGTCGCAAATCGGACTAAGTTTGTGTAACAGGATGTAATGGCATGCTCACGCCCCAAACGCTTTCTTAAGAGTTTGGAAGACGCCGCTTCAAGAGTCTTGCAAATATCCGCGTTTTGAGTTTGGAGAATGTCGCTTCAAGAGTCTTGTAGATATCTGAGTTTTATACAAGTGCGAGCTCAGTAGCCTACCCCAGCATAGAACGATACCCCACACGCGATTTTCTAGACTATAGCATCTCCAAATTCGAAGTAGATAAGTCGATGAGCTGAATTGACAAGTTGATCATAGTTTGCGCTTTACTTAATAACGAAAGCAGGGTGTTTCGAAGCCTGTCGCCATTTAAACAAGACTTGATGATACGGCTTTGAAGCACCGAATGTGGTGAAAGGATGTGATCGAGATCGTGACCTTTTCCAGCTTTGCCACCAGTTCATTAGTACTAATTGTAAGGAACTTCAAAAAATGGTGAGTGAGCACCACTAGAATGTGGCGTTGTCAGATGCGAAGTTCGCAAGAACTGAAGCTTAGAGAAGGGTACGACTTTTCAGAATGTGGGAAGGATCGTAAGTAGGTGCAAAAGTGAGCATTACAAATGATTTTCAGAATGTCTCTGCGTAGTTAATTTGCATTATGGGTTCCAACCATAAAACCCATAATGCAAATTAATCAAGTTCGCTAAAACATAATTTCGTTCGTTTTTAACGGTTTGTAAAAATGTCACAGATAGATTTGTGTATAAATGAGTGGTACCGAAATAGTAAATTAAGGAGAATCGAATAGTTAACTTTTTTTTGCTTAAAAATATTTTTTGATAGCAATGAAGCGGGAAAGCAAAAAAGCCAGGTGAATTTCGTCAAATTTCCGAAAAATCATGCTCCAAAAAGAGTTGAAACTGGGTGTGAAGTGCACGAATGGCACGCATTACGATTTTGATTTATTCAACCGTTTGCATGGCCAAAGATGGTCAAGTTAGCGATTTGAATTGCCCAAAAACTGACTTCCATACGCAGATACCTGGAAATTCTCAATTCCGCCTGCAGAAATACACAAACAGCAGATGACGGCCGTCATTGTTGTTTGCCATGTAGCCGAAGGTTGGTATTCAGATACCAAATTACTCGTCTGTGCACTTACTACGAGCTGAGTACGGAATCAGGAAACCCAAAAAGTGATTTTTTGGAAGTTTAAACATATAAGGTCATAAGCGTCTTTGGAGGTTTATGAAATCCATACAATGATTATGTGATGGTAGGGCTTGAAGCTATTTACTCACAAAAAATCACAGCTAAAGGACAGGTACTTGAGTTTTTATGCAGCTTTGAAGTCGCATGTCAAAATGAGATTATTTATTAGCCAACCTTATACAATTTCCTTCCTCTAATTTGCTTATCGCTGAGACATCACTTTTCCAAAGACAAACTAGCGCAACGTACGACTTTGTTTGCGGCATTTTAGGAATGCCCATTAATTCAAAAGTAGACATGGTTGCAGTGTGACCGGAGAAAAAGTAACTTTTTCGCCTTAATCACAAACGAACTGTCAATTCAAGGGCGCATTAACATCAATCACTTGTAGACACTCCACAAAACTATTTTCTCAGATTAATCACGCTGACATCCGTCAACTCGATCACGCCTGCTTTTCAAAAAGTCACTGCACGCGAGTACACTTCCCTTGACTGCTAATGTCATGCAAACTGTGAATTATAGGGGAATTGAATGCGCTGGAGATAAAATGTAGGAGAAGGAACCTTTTCCGAGCACTTACCACACAACCGAAACATTACAGCTACCGATAAACTATAAAAGCTCCCCAAAGCTTTCCACATAACTGCAAAAATCCTGCAGTGCACATTTAAAAAAACTAATACGCCCACCTCTGACTAGGCAATGAATCATTTCAACGATCGACTCGTTATGTTCAGATGATGTCGTGAATCAGGCCCATACAAGGGTAGGAAAATCGAAAACACATGGAGATGAATAGTTACACGACTCGTCACAACTCCTTCTTTGATGGGCAAGTTTAGGAGTGCCGTTTTGAGTGCGAGGCTTTCAAAAAACTTGTCACATGCCAAGCAAGCACGAGAAAAATTATGTTCTGTACGGATTAGAGCAAACCCAAAATAACTCAAGATACAGCATTGTAAGGAATGGCTTCATTCAATTCCATACTCAAAGTATCAGCCGCTTTTCCACATTTTCCTCGAGATTGACAAGACTCACTCGAAATTAAGGACAGCCTGAGCATATCAGAAGATACTGGATGATACAGAAGTATTTGGGTGTGGTGCGGAAGGCGACAATCCCCAACTTTTGTGCCTATCAAAAACTTTCCGGTGTCAAAGTGACACCCCGGGGGACTACGGGGGTGGGGGGTGGGGGCAGATACACTACTCAATGCCACAAGTAAAAATCCGTGAAATTCATTGAGACGGATGATACACAGCCACCATTTTTCGCCGATTGTCGCCTTCCGCGTGCCCCCCCCCCCCCGAAGTATTTGCTCCATGATGCAAGCAAGGTCGGAACATAAGTATTGCTACATTTACATTTGCAAATTCAAAGGTAGGTCTACATTGCACAGCCTCCATCTTACCTCTTTCAAAGACTCTCCCATTGTTTTTTCCTATCTTGTCAAATTTTTGAAATTCAAAAAAATGTATACTGTACAAAATTTTGTGTAAGTGGAGAATGAGGAAAAACCTTCTAAGAAGGTTATGAAAACTTGTCTACTTCAAGTGTGACAAAACTTATTCAATGACGAGGTAGAAGAGTTTGTTTGGAGTCGTCCAAGGCGGGCATTGCACAGGATTTACGGTCGAGTAATCAGCTCAACACTCCAACAACGAGTTGGTGAAAGATCAAAGGTGCATTTGGATCTATTCACGAGCTATTGACGTGCCTGGCGTGGAAAATTCTTCTAATAGAGCATGCGAGATCCCAAAGCTATTTTATTCCGACGAAAAGATCCCACAGTTTTCAAAACAAAATAACTAGGTAATATATCCCCTCACGAACGGATGGGAAGATGTAAAAAGCGACTTGCGCGTATGCTTAGCAGGTTGATTTGCAATTTCCCACTTCCTTTTTACTTGTGATGGCACACCGCCTCAAATTATAGCTTACTAGTTGGCAAACCCAGCGCCCGGGCCTGTCAATAATATATTTGTATTTAGTATGCTCGATTACCCCCCTGTGCCAACTTTCAGCCCTGTAGCTCAAATTTTGCAAAAAATCGATAAAATCGATATCGATCGATAACGAAAAGTAGCCTATGACACTCTCCCTGCCCCGAAGCATATGTGTGCCAATTGGTCCAAATCGGTTCAGAAATAAAAATTTCTATCCCGCACATACGTTCAGACATACAGACATACAGATACAGACAGACATCCAGCTTTATATATAAGATGGATGTCAGTTTTATTCGACAACTTGTACGATAAAATATTGGCAACGCCAGATCGTCGCCCCCCCCCCTTCGCATTGACTCTGTTGAAACTGAACTTTGGACAATTACCATAATTTCACAAGTTCATGACGCATCTTCTTCATTTTTTCAGGGAGCTCGGCTGCACCTGTCTCGCAAAATGGTCGCTCTTCTACACAATTCTTTCAGGTATGGAGCAGGTAGAGGGCCACTTTGTCGCGAAAGATTCTGGTGCCACTTTGCCGCGAAAGATTCTGGTGCTTTCAGGCTGGTCAAACTTAGGAAAAAACATTCTGTCTTGTACTAGTGAATTTGGAGTACTGCAACCTACTCTCCAGATTCTGTTTACTTTCAGTTGTGACTCCGCCGATAACAAAAATAGGACATCCCTAAACTCACAAGTTTGTTCCAGTCGTGTCGGCCGTGAGATAGCCGTTCCGTTATCATTACTGGCTTCACATCGGTACACTCCAGCATCACTCTCATCGAGTTTCGAGAAGACAAGAGTGCCTTAAAAGAGCATTCAAAAAGGCATAGCAAAATTTGAACACCCAAACCTAACTGACTGCATCAAAACATTCATGAGCGCAAGTAAAATAAATGATTACCATACTCACCTTCACCTGGCTTCTGTACGACTTTGTCAGAAAACATATTGACGTTAAACGTCTTTCCATTTTTTGTCCACCGATAACTGAAACAGAAGATGAATAGATCACAAGCATACTCATTTTGGAAAGTTTTGACTAACAATCACAAGTTCTGAATAAATGCACAATCTAATAATTGCACAAACGAGGGCCAGCAACTTGTCTTGACTTCTCTCGCAAGAAAAAATTTTTGCCTATTAAACTTGAAAATTTCTAGAGCAAGTAGTACAGATTGTACCCTATGCAAGTGGAACTGCATATGCTAACAAGAGAATTAATGGCAATGCACAGTGTCCTTGAATAGCTTGGCCGGCGCGTTATGAACTTCTTAATACTCATCTAATAGACGCCCAACTCTAAGTCATTTTGTCAGTTCACAGTGACAGATAGCAATTTGTAAAACAGCCATGACTCAAACGATGGATGCAAAAGCAAAGAGCCGGGTATACTTCACCCGATTTCAGTCGCGACGCGATTTGGCATTCAGCCAACACTTGCAAACTGCACATGCATAGAATGTATAACTTACGCGCATTAATAAGATGCGCTATATCTTTTGTACATTTGAAATGTGCTTACACGAGTTATGGACAGTTAAAATACTGCCAAGTCGCGTCGCCACTGAAATCGCGTGAAGTATGCCTTGCCTTTAAATCAAGTTTTCGCGAACTTTTGACATAGAAACTATTGATAATGCAGACAGTGGCTTTTGAAACGCTAAAAATCCTCGCGATACTCTTGGCGATAAAACCGGTTGCCATATAAGTTTTGCAACTTTTTCTCATAACTTTTGTCCTTTTAAATTTCAAATGTAGCGCTTCCTTTTTTGGTATTATAATGATCATCATGTGAGCAATGAATACAATCATTTCTGTCGAATATTCCATAACGCATTTCAGAGTTACGGTGAGGCAATTTCTAAATGGGAAGAAAAAGGAATTGCCACAGATCTGGATGAAACTTGGTATAAGGGATTATATGTGCGACATCCGGATTACGAAAATGACATTCATTCTGCGTGAAAGGTTTATTTTGCTACGAAAAAGCTAAGTTAGGAAAATGAATGGTCTAATTTTTGATCCTGACAACAACTGAATATGATATTCGTTCTCGGCATGTCAAATTACATTGTGCAAAATTTCGCCAAAATCCGACGTTTCCGACTCACCAGATTTCGCTTTGACTTTGACTAGAAATTCATTTTTTACTGGGCTCAGTAGCCACCCTCCGAGAACATATCGCCTACACTTTCGGCCGAATTTGGTCAATTCAATTTTGTACGTCTTCGTTTTTGCTAAAAAACCGTAAAAACTCGTTTCGACTGTTCTTCAAAAAATACGTAGATTTTTTTTTCATTTTGTCATAAAAATCAAACAGTTTGCGCAGATTTGAAGCCCGCTTCTGCGTCTACATAACCCTAAAATTCAAAAGCATCTCATGCAAAGAGAAAGAAATTATGGACAAAGTTTCAAAGCCTAGTGCCAATTTAATACCTGAAGAGTTCCAATTCAGCTTCGATGACTGCTATCATCAATTACAGCGGTTCATAAAAGTGTAATCTGTCAAGCTTTAAAATTTAAGGTTTTACGAGGGGTGTGATGGCATGAGTATTTCAACCAATCATAGTCTTCGAAATCATATGCAGACACATGAAAAATTGCAATACTGATGGACCCCCACTTGGCATTTATTATCCAGAGTTCTTCAAATCAAGCAGTAACTTTTCAAAGCTTGACTTTGTAATAAAAGTGCTAGAACGCTGTCTGGCATGGATTGGCATGATACCATAGCATAACATTTTGAAAAACGTTTGTTAGTTGTTTGGATCTAATATTCATATTTTATACGTGCAGCATTGCATATGATGGTAGACACCTGACAATAGTTAAGAGGAAATTCTAACATGATGGCGATAGCTTTAGCCAGACGGTCAACAGAGTAAAAAAAACCAATGTTTAGAAATGCTTTTCCTTGAGAAGCAAGAAAATAAGTACAACCAAGTCACGGCTGACAACTTTGCTTGTTTTTCAGGCGGAGAGGAAAAGAAGTTGTGCAAACACGGCTCAGTGAAGCGAACGTTCCTAGTAATACGTGCTCATTCAGAACAGATGAGAGGCATGAGTGCACCTCTCCATGATGTATAGCATTCTTTAGTTTGGTTGTAAATGGATTTTAGTTGAGAACTGTACAAAAACGTTTTTACACGAATGTCCAGTTTCCAGTGGACAAAGTCGCCAAATTTTTTCGCTTCTATAAAAGTATCAATGGGCCGAGGAAGAGAGAGAGGTCGCAAACTTTTCGAGGGTATCCTATATGATTTGTGAAACTGCGCAAGTGACTTGTATAATAATTACTTGCAGATAACTGCGACATTTTTGAGAATTCCTAAAACTCAAATTAACTATGTAAAAACAAAAGTTTCGGGGTTGTTGGAATTGTAAGCTCGCACTGTTTAGAAAAGCACCCCAGAAAATCTTCCGAAAAAATGGCTAACGCCACTCCCTCCCCCCCCCCCCCCCTGGAAAAATTCTTCAGACTTGAAGATGAAAATGAAGCCAGCAGAGACAGGACTACAATTTCAAAAAACAACGGAAAGGTGTGTTTTTTGATAAGATTGACTGTCATAACTTGCACTTGTGTCGAGCTGTGACTGCCTCAAATAAAATAATCAGATTGTTTTAACCTTTTATAGAATTAGACGGCCTGATGATGGCTACAAGACACAGGCTAAATCTACTCTATGTACCAAAACAGTCTCACTTCCACTCATATGAAGTACTTCTTTATGGGCACTAAGATACTATTCCACAAACCCTCCACATTCGGATCCATTTCTTACCCAACAACGCAAGAACTACGACGAAAGACTTCATTAATCCTTATGCGGTGCGTCATTTTATGGCATGCGGCGAGATCTGACATATGGGACGATCCAGTCGGAATTTTTTTATCCTACTATATCGTCATTAATTCGCATTACATCTGCGTGAGACTTTGCTATAAATCTTGCACAGCATGAGCGATATAAAAAAAAAAGATCCCACAGTGCTACTCGCAGCTCTATAGCGATATTTTGAAACAAGGGTAGTTCGAGTAGGGAAAGGTTAGTTGCAAAAAATCAGTTCTGAAAGGAGCGATAGTTCATCAGAAGCTGCGCTACAATTCCGTACAAGGAAGAGCGATAACCTGAATTTCGCCTCAGTGGAATACTGATCTTTTCGCACATTTTACAACAGACCGTAACGGGACCAGTAGTCCGCAGAAGCGGTGTTGATGACGGTATTCACTCCTCTACCCCTGTACAGTATTCATGTAAGAAATGTTGTAATGCAGTGATATCTGTCACAAAACGAGGTAACTAACATTATTAGGCCCGCAAATGACTGGTATCATCTCAAATATGGTAAAAAGCATCATAAAATTATCAGAATGTACAGAAAAGCGAGATAAATAATTGGTAAACTTACGATGGAACTGGATTTCCTTCGGCTATGCAATTGATAGTAATTTGGAAAAGGTTATCTGGAGCTTTTGTCTGCTCCGTTCCAACTTTCTCAACTTTAAAATACAATACTTCTTCGTTCGGCTCATGAACGAATCGTGGTGGTGTCGCTATAGAAGCCCAGTCGACTGCGGCACCTGGAAAACAAACTTTGAAACCAAAAAATGAAGCCTTTCATTCCATTTGCAAAGCAAGTCATGAACCTGCATGACGCATCACCACCCTAGTAAGAAAGTTATGAAAGCAGAATAATAACATCTTTTTTCTTTGCTCGGTCCCCACAGTGTCCTACAGAACAAAGGCACGATAGCAGCGATTCCCAGACAAGCACTGATCCCTGTACTTTTTTAGCTTATTCAAACACGACACACGACCGTAACACACAGCCCCAGTCGAAAAAAACATTGCTTAACCAAACCCCTGCTTGTGTAGCATAGCGGACAAAAACCGTTCGTTCGGAAAATGCAGGATGTAGACGTCTATACGAAACGAAACGCGAAAATACGCTAGTTCCTATCTAAATTCAAGCGCATCAGCACTCTTTTAGGCAGTTACTCAACAATAGTAAAGCAAGCTATGATGTCTTTGACAATATAAACAGAGGCATGGTATGTGTTCTTCCTCAAGTATGCTATAGAAAAAAAGTACGAACCAGAGGTTGAATCTATACTACCGCTCATTGCTTGTCAAAAAAGTCACCAAATTCCACCGGAGTTCACCGATATCGCGTCTCGCCATATCTAGTTCATAGTAACAAATTCCGAGTGCAAAGGCACCATTTGACTCAGCTCGTCGAGGCGCATCTTCTAATAGGAAAGCCCCGTTTGGATACGTTAGGTGCAGGGTAAGCGGTAACTTCGAGGATATTCTGGAGGCAGGTTACTCGTGGTGATGCTTCGTTGCACGCTGAGTGACCGACCGTACCAAGATCACTAACCGCCTACCATAACCAGCACTTCCGTACACTTTTGTATATGAGCAGATGCGCCTCGAGAAGCCGAGTTGGACGGTCCCCTGGATCCAGGATTGGCGCAGTCCAAATGAAATTATGGGTGTATGTCAAAAGGCGCGATTTTCATTGCCAGTTGGGCAGCGAAAAGCACATATTCAGCGTATTATAACGACGTTCTGGATGTAATCTAGAATTTAGAGGGGATATAATGAATGGTTGCACGAGTTGTCCAGTCTGTCTCGAATTCGATTGAAAATGAAAATGTTGAAGGTCAAAAACTCATGAAAACGCAATTATTAACGAATTTGTGATTATTTTGGTCAGATTTTCAGCAAAAACCGTCAAACTCAGCAAGTGGTGACTTCAGATAGCTAGTAATCCATGTACTTTGTCTGGTGCTTTTTGAACACTTGCTTAGCACTAGATTTGGAGTTGGTGACAGCCAGAGAAATCGCGCCTCTTGACCGTCTCCCCGAAATTTCGGCGATGCAACGCGAAGTTTGATGAACTCCAGTGGAGTTCGGTGACTTTCTTGACGAATTACGGACGGTATTCTATGTAGTAGCAAGCGAACGAGTAGGTCAGAAAAGGGGTATTTGAAATACAACACAATTATCGATGTTTTCGATAATCATTTTTCTGAAAGTATGATTCCTTACACGACATTGCGTTCGAAGAATCCGAAAATCAGATTCTGTTAGTAAAGACCTTGGCGGTAAGCTACAATTTTTAGTAGATCTCTAGCAAACATTGCACCGAATCCTGAAACTTTGGACCGTGGTTTCCAAAATGGTCGAAAGCCACAAATTCCTTTGAGCCCGAGAAAACAATGGTATACGATTGACCGACTACTTTTGCAAATTCCTTCTAAACCAGGTTGAACTCACACTTGGAGCACAAAAAAAGCTTTCCTGCTCCCCACAAAGCAAATGCTAAAGCAACTATTAGAACTAATAGAAGTAATTCGAATCACGAAGATTCGTCGACGATCGCTGAAAATGACCAATGTGCATGTCTCATAAACCTAACGTATTGGCTTTGTCTCGATTGAGGTCGCCGAGTTGCAAGGAGACAAAAGTCATTGCGCGCCCCATGGGAAATTTCAAAATAGGACTATAAACAAAGACATACGATGAAAGAAACATATATGGCATACTCACATTGCCAAATGAATGGTGGTTTTTTGGAGCAAGAGATGTAGTAAAGAACATAAACGCAAACACATATGTTTCGGGTTCAATGCAATTCATTGATGGGTGCTACATTCGAGATAAATACTTCAAAAACTTCTAATAATTTAGTCTAAAATGTTTTCACTAATGTAACTCCATTTCAAAAGAAAGAACCGCCATAACTGGCCAAAGTATGTATCAAAAGAGATCGTGTTCTCAAGCAGCTCCAAAAATCTTGTTCTGTACCCAGCAGTGATAAAATTGTAAAGTTTCTTTTAACAAGTTCCCTAGCCAAACCGAAAATTTGCGGGAAGATGCATTGTGCCCTTTCAGCATTCGTCTCCGGAAGATCACTGGCTGCTGAGGAAATTAGGCAATCAAAGGCAGCAAACGCTTCGTTTATCCGAGAATGGACAGAATTACGAATTCCCTTGGCGACTGACATGAAATATAAGAATTTCTCTGCAAAATAGGATGAAAAGTTTGCGCAGTGGCAGAAAAAGTAACATGAGAACTCCAGAAAACTTCAAAAACTGCACGATCACATCACGCTTCCTTGGCAATTTCGATAATTTGGTATTAATGTAAGTGGACGAACTATGATAATAAACAAGTACAGAGACCCAAATTTTATTTCTGGCAATGACCTCGCTGCTACTGACAAATTTCTCTCATTCCAAAATTTCTTCATCATGTCCCCGCACCTATAGTTGCTTCACAATGAGATCTCTAAACTGTACAAATCGTCGCTTCCTAAAGCTGGCGTTAAGCCTGCCATATCTCACCCAATTTCAGTCACCAAGCTGACTGGCACTTTGCCAAATGCGCCCAAAAATTTTGATTCTAGTTCAGTGGTTTGATGTCATCATGCTTACCTCTAGCGATGAAGGATTCCCCCACCCTAAATAAATTCGTTGCTCTACCAAGGCGATTCCAAAAGTCGCTGCTAAATCAAGAAAGCATCTACACAATATTTGCCCAGCTTTACGCAAATTTTAAATGATAATTCTAATGACGTCTTCTGCACCCTTCCCTCATTGAAAATTCTTCACTTTATGAAAATGTGGATAAGCAAATGATGCATTCCCTATGACGACACCAGTGTGACTGCTATCAATATGACAAATCTGCGGCATCTGTACAAAACATTCCTGCCATCAGTCGTAAATATCAAAACGTTGCCGCGATTGGAGGGTCTTTGATCATGCTAATGACACAAAACATCCATTTCCGCTTCTCGACACATCCGTAAAGAACATAATAAGAACGAAAAAGGTTTATTTTTTATGTGTCGGCTCCACTACCGTACTCCGTAACATATTCGAACCTCTCTGTGCTATCTTTTTACAAACATTTAGCTGGTACCGTGAAGAATTTCTGATAAAATTATTAGTCGCTCCTAAACCTTGGCCATTCGATCAACAGTTTCGATAACCGCACTCCTTATAGGAGCTTCTTTACACCATGCTTTATAAACATACACATCAACATACAAAGGCACTAGAAATGTCAAAATGACGTGTAAAATGCCCGAAACACCACCCTTGCTTATTTTGCCTACGAAACGATTGTTATAAATCGCTTTCGCACAACGAAGCACGAGAAGGACCCTGAGAACACCTGCCACACCGCTGCGCGACACCTGGCCATATACGGTCAAAACTTCCGAGGCTCTTTCACATTGTGAAACCTTTGGTCTTATAGGTGACTTTTTGGAAACGCATAAATCCCTCGGAACGCCAATTTTCACGTAATAATTCAACACTAGAGTGACGTCCGTACAGGGACGGACCTACCGTATTGCTAGTTGTAATCTCATAGATAGTGCAATGTGGACGGCTCGTATCAAATGAGAGGAGCCAACGCCATTGTCACCACGAGGGAAAAACAGCGAATGACAAGACGGCATGTAATCAAGGGAGAAAGCAAATGTGACCACTGACGAGACATGAGAGCAAAAGTACACGAGGCTATTGAAAAAAAATCTCAGAATATTCGCGAACGGAAGCTATACGATAATACAATGAATTGGAAGTTCGAAAAAGCCGAAATCATGAGCCCTTACTTCAAAAAGAGAATCATCATAACCATTTTATGAGTGAGTGTAAATGCATACCCTGAGAAAAACCAAGACCAGTTTTCCCATACATCGCAGATAAAAACTTGAAAGAATAAAAACGACCGTGAGAGTATAATTTCAAAAAACTCACCACAAAGAGTGGCCGCCCCGACGAGCAAGATGGCCGTGGCAAAATTGCCAACAGGCATGGAAGAAGGCCTCTGAAAGAATTTGTATGTACCATTCTACAAAGACCACATAAACACGATGTAGAGAAGGCGGATACGATGGATAACGACCAAAAATTTCCGTGAATTGTAGAAGGCATGAGGAAGCACGATCGAAATGTTTCGCATATATGGCGTCATGGACATCAATCATTTCAAAGCTCGACAAGGACATTATGCACAAGCAGACGCAAGCACTAGCAATTTTGAACGAAAACCTATGACAAAGTAAGGTTCACAAGTTTAAGAAGATTATTACTTCATATGAACACAGAAATGTTCGGAACAGGTTTAATGTTGGAATTCTGTACGAATACCTGAACAAATTTTTGATTAGCCGGTGTTTGACACATACAAGTTTGGCAACATAAGAAGTCTCAGATTCTTCGCCCACTAGACAAAAAGAATCATAGACGCCTGACAAAGACCATTTCAACTCTATACATCGAATTACGACCGAATAAGATACCATCTTAATGGTCCCATAGACACTTAAATCGGTGGATATCAAAGCGAGCCCCAAAAAACGTGCTGCCACACAGCGAGCAGCGAAAGAAAGCGATAAGAGGTTGAAATGACTAACAACTGACGGACGAAATAAATGTGAAAAACGCATTCTAAATGGGGCTGCAACTGCTAAGGACAAATTACGCCAAGCAAAGATAGATGTTTGTGCAACAAAAAATTCTGGTGTTAACAGACTTCAAAACTGGCAGATTTAAACGAAAAAATACTTTGAAAATTTCAAGAAGAGTGGATTTGTTTTGGCAATTCATTACTACAACCTAGAAGATCTTGAAGAGCATTCAAAAGCTTCCAACTTTCCAAAAACAATGATCTGCTCACCATTCATGTTCACCAGATAGACTGGGATGAAAAGAAATCAGTATAAAAATAAGAGATAGAAGTTTCCATAAAAAGTAAATAATGAACTGGAAGAAGAACTGGAAGACTTGGGAAGTTTCGATCCAAAGCGGCGAATCAAGAGCTTGAGAAAGCATGACTGTTATTTGCAAAGCAAAGAGAAAAACCATAAAAAGCTGCACTTTTTATGGTGACCTTTTTGCGAATGCCGCTCTACCTACACAAAGATGACTCAGTCATTCCATCTATAGCAAAATCATGGAGATAAATTGGAATTTAGTGACTCAGAGATGCAAACTGTAACAACGAAAACCTGACCGCAACGCCTCCCACTCGTCGAGGTCAAACTTGCTAAGTAGTAGCGGGCCATTATTAGATTGAACGTCCAATTTTTTCATGATTCGAGAAGAAGGCGCGATTCAAGGGCGCCCTTCAGGTTTGAGTAATCGATCTCAAAAGGTGAGCAATCCCGTTATGGTCAAGTTTTTCTTTACAAACATTGCGGTAGCCAATAAAGACATCAAAGTAAACCTTTTGGAGACTCTCAAAATGCGAAATTTACTGGAGAGAAGAAAATCGGCAGATAAAAGGATGTTCAATCAATCAAGATGTGCAGCTTTCAGCAGAAGGATAGAATGATTAGCTAGCGCCCGAATGGTGCGTTGACGATTGGGTACCGAGGGCGGGAAGAGACAAAGTGGACGCACGCAACGGCGGCTATCAAAATGCCAGAACGATGTGCTATACAGATGAGACGGGAAAATTAGCAAAAATGAGAGGAGTCATCCCAAATGTGAGTCATAGAAAATTCGTCTGCGTATTCTAAAACAGCCCAAAATTCCGATTGCAAGTGGGCTAGAGTGACAAAGCAGCTGACTAAGAGATGTGCGACGATCGCGCCATCATCACATAACCAAATAAGAAACGCGAGCCGGATCCCAGCGTAACTCTCCACTCTAATTACTGGCCTCGCTGGAGTCAGACGTCTGCGGTTTTACTTACCACAGCCTAAGCGGTGCTTGCAGATAAGGATGCGTAGTAGTCGGACGTACCGGAGCATTAGACGTATAGATCTACGCGGGTAGATGAATGAAACGGCACGAAAGCGGGCGGGTGCGGACCAGCGGTCATCTATCATATTCAGTCCATCCATATTCTGCCTCACATCATGGCCAGTCGATTCTGCGTAAGCGCAAAGATATTCACTACATAAAGGGCTTTCGCAAGGTTCTTGGTAGACCAGCAACTTTTCGAATAAGTGATAGATATAAACATAAGAGGATGATGCATAATTTCTGCACCATAATGTTTGAGATACTGTTACTTTCTTCACCTTCAACGAGATCTTCTGAATCAAAAGTTTCAGCACGCAATTGAATCAAAATTCTTTATTGGTATAGTATAACGATACAAGCTGATTGAGATGAATACAAAAAAGATCTTTTTTTCTAAGAATTTCGATCGCTAAAATTGCTGGAACATCCACTGCGAACCAAATTTATCTTTGGTCTTGATTTTATGACCTACTCTTTTTTGCCAAAAAAAAAGTGGTAGTGGTCGAATGTCTCTACGAATCTGTCGCTAGCTATTCATTCTGTCTCTAAGTTAAAGTTCCATTTCTATTCAACTTGTTGACTCTGTTTCATGGTTTTCGAACATGTACTATTGAATACTAGCTTTGTTATAATAATGAGCTTGATCTAAATTCATTTATTCGTTTCACTTTCTGAACGAATTTTCTCTTTTCGGTGAGAGAATTGTGCACAACCTAATATTATTTTACTATCACCTGCTTGAAGATTAGTTTTTAACGAGCGTCCCACGAAGGATCAAGAACCAAGAGAAGGCAAAAGCAAGACATGACATCACATAGATGGTTATACGCGCCAAATACCAATCATTCCGCATTATAGCTCACTTGAGTGTACTTAATGCACTTCAAAAAAGTGACTCAAGGATACTACGCAAAGAAACCATTTTACAATATTCCGGTCTTTAGAAAACATTATTACTGGAGCCAAACTTCAAAGGAGACAAGACGACTACAACATTAAAGAAGATTAAAGTATGTGCATGATTACTTTCCACATCAAAAGCTAACGAAAGAGTAAAAAGTGATCAGAATGGATGTTGAATGCACTAGCACTCTCCCGGCGCGTAGCAAATATATCAGCAAAGGTGAAAGTCAATCCCGAATGGGAGCGGACACCTGAAACAACACTAGTAGCATCAGATAACGCTAATGTGTACTGTAACAACACACTTTTGCGCGGTCGGTCACCAGCCAGATAGAGTGATCACTTTGCACTGTAATCATGGACTTCTTATTACTTTAGGGTAGGCAAAAAGTACCGAGTTTTCACAAAGGACATGTCCACCTTGCGTCTAGTCTAAGGTCGCGAGATTCCACATGATTGATGTGCATTGCGGAAAAAAGCGACAGCACCCTTAAAGCCACACGCAGCGATAGAATCGGAGAAAAAATCATGGAAATTACTCATGCTGCAAATCAGATCGCCATGGCCGACGGTAGTGTTTTCAAGAGGGTGTATGTTAAGAGGCGCGATTTTTATTGGCAGATGGACACCAATTAACGCATTTTTAGTATTTCATGATGTTCTAGGAGCAATTCGGTTTTTTAAAGAGATACATATGATTGTCCCATGGGTTGCTCGATCTTATTATTCTGAGAGAGATTCAAAACGTAAGCGCTAGAAGTCAAAAACCCTTGAAAATGAAACTAATGGCGTTCTCGTGAATATTTTAACAGGTTTCTACCAAAGGCCAACAAAATTAGCAAGTTAGCTCCGCTTAACAAACCAGAGCCTTTCTCTGGTGTTCTCGAAAAACTAGCATGGCTCTAAATTGTGCTGTTATATTGTCGACCCCCAGGAGAAATCGCGCCTCTTGACCGTCTCCCTTCCAAGATCGCTCAACACATCAAAAAGGTAATGTTAAAACTCCCCAAACAATAAAGCTATGTCATTAAATACTGGCCAACTCGAGTAGCTGTCACACATTGTCACTCCTTCCGCTACCCATAACAATTATCCGAGAATGAGCAATATGCAAAGCAATTGAAGGTAAGATAGCTTATTGAAGTAAATAAAACGCAATGGCACAAATAATGCTCATTGAGTTTTGCCGACTAAATGAAGTTAGACGAAGGCGGAGAAACGATAACGAGATTGTGTGAGTTGCTCTCTTCCAATAACACCGAGGTCAACGGAAATGACATAGTATAAAAAGATTCAAAACACAATCAGATAAAGACGAAATTGATCAATTTACATTTCAGGTTAATAGAGCTCTTGAAGAAATCAGCAAAAGCTGCGGACAGTTACAGACTTAAATCATCATACACTGGAGTACTTTACAAGAGTTGAAAAAGAAAGGAGAGAAAAAAGAAAAGCAGATAGAAAGAAATAGGAGAAAAAAAACGAGAGAAGTAAAACATCTACAGTGCAAGCCATAAGACGTCTACATTGCGAACTCCTTAGAAGATGCTGCTACCTAAGTTGTGTTCAGGTAATTTGATCTGACATATGAAATTACATCACTTTATAATATTTGCAAGCCCACATAAAAATTTTCTATTAAATTTCCCAGAACCTGACAGTTTGAAGAAAGTAAAGATAGAAAATTTGATGCATTATTGCCCGATAGCCAGATCCACTTCAGAATGACTCGTATAATCTCTCAGTAGAACATGAATGGCTGTGCAAGGATTATGCAAAAAGGAAAAAATTCAAACACAACCAAGCAAGACTGTTGGCTCTCGAATCGAGCAAAGAGCATTTCAACTCCGCTCTGAAGTGACGAAAACAAACAGATTTCGATAAGGTCACCAGTGACAAAACATGACGGCTCTAAAGGCTATTCGACGAGATCAGAACAGCGATAGCATGTATTAGTGCGCATGAGGAAAGATGTCCGAGTCTCAGAGGAGCTGGATTCCTCATGTGGCGCTGCGGCATTTGGGGTTACAGATTAGCATCGGCATGACGATAAGGCGTTGCACCCCCGGTACGGGGGCTTGAAACGCATAATGGAAATTTGCATAGGCTGAGAATGCGTTTGCGCGCGGCGATCTGCGCAAGCGAAAAGAAAGGAAGAAAAGAAGCGGCGAC